CACGATGGTTTCCAGAGGGAACCGCGAGGAGGTCGATATAGCCAGCAATAAAATCCCTTCCCCCCACGGAATCGATCGAGCGAATCTTCAGATACTGCTTGACCTCTCCATAATATGAAGTCTTTTTTTATTAGCACAGGGGACAAACGAGTATGCGGCTCACTCCATAGTAAATGACTACCATCGTTCATGAGCTCCCGCAACACCGAAGGAATTGCAGGTGAGCTGTCTGCCTTGTAAAAAGGAATATGTTCTTTTATTGAAGGTTACGACGTCCATGTCGCGTAGATAGTGGAGATGTCTATTAAATGGATGGCTGTTTTATTTGATCTGGATTATCAGATTGGACTATTAGTTATCAGCTAATGGTACCGATTTGGGGGAGGAGGGGGAAGGGATTGTTAGTAATGGGGATTGTAAGCCTCATTGTTAGCAACCCATTCTGTGAGGTCATCTCTTTACGGTTCCTCCTCGAAACCATAGTGTTCTATTCTAAGTGAATTCATCACGATGGGCAAACTGACCTGCCTTTTCATTCTCACTTACCACCCCTCATTACTGTCTTGCTAGCGTATACTGTTAGCGTAGGTGAGGATACCATTCCGTTATGATCTATTTAAAAAAATGGCTGGAATGTCGACCCTCATGCGGCTCGCCTGGAAACCATCGTGGTTAATTCTTGTGATTTAGTCATGATGGGGCAAATGACCTGACCTCCTATCATCATTCACGACTAGCCCGCCAACATATACCAGTAGCGAAGGCAGGGTTGCCATTCCATTTACATTCAATCAAAATTGTATATAAAATAATTTACGCCAAGGAAAGAGTATTCAGACAATCTTACTATAAAATAAATGCATACGTTTGTAAAGGTGTTTAGACATTTGTTACTCTATTACACTTAAACAGCTGAATAAACTGGAATGAATTGTTTGTAACACCGCTGGGCCATATTCTAGATTGACATTATGCCATTTTTTATCTTAAATCACAGAGGCAGCACCCAGGATAATATAAAATAGTTCTGTTTTTTTTTAAACATACTAAAATGTGGAATAATGACTTTGCCAAAGAGATATTGTATATTTAAGAAAGAAAATGTTATTAAAGGTAAAATAAGAATTTTTTTACTGTGCCTTTTATATATTTTTTTCCTATCTTTTCATAATATTAGGAATAATAAATTCAGAATATTATGTCTTATATTATCCACATTTCAAGGGACGAGGTTCTCAGTTGAACAGAATTTAATATTTAATGCCAACATGACTGCCGCTCAGCAATACTGTAGCAAATTTAATTGCAGTAGCACCAGTATTATCTGGAACCTAAGATACACAAGCCTACACTTTTACAGACACCAGCTTCTCACAGTAGAGTTCCATATTATTTTAATTTTATTTTATCCTAAATACCTATGTATAAATTTAGGTTGTTTGTGAGGAGACATAAATAAATATATTATTATATTATTATTATATATAACAGTGAGATATTATATAACTTTTATAATATAGCTCTATAGACTTGTACAAACATTTCAATAATTCAAAATGTTGTTACCCGCTGAGAAGAACCAGTATGAAACACAAAACCTCTTGCCAAAACTTAGAAAAAATAATTAAAATATTTGCATAGACACAAAAACTATAATTAAAATAGAGTAACCATTGTGATATTAATTTTTATGAAGTGAAAAATGAGATTATTTCATTTTATGGAAAATTAGAAAAGGAAATAAAAATTTGTTTCTAAGGTCACATAGCCATCAGACTATGATGAGATTCTTATAATTTCGTAAAAGTTTCATTACTGCACACTGATCCATGCATATAATGGCTCCATAACCTTTGCAGTTTAAGGCCAACCTTCATAAAATTATTCAGAAAGATGTAAGAGGGTGACCTTCATAAAAAAGTAAAGTTTACATTTTTTATGTTTGACCTCTCCATCCAATATTTCAATGAATTTTTTTAACAGATTATCCATATAAATATTACAATGTGAATGTGAGTTTGTAACATTTTAATGTCTTAACAGTTGGACCAATAATTATTAATTTTAGTATTCGAGATAGAGAAGAACTAATATGGGTAAATCAACATATTGTCACATGGAGAAAGCATAGGTAAAAACTAATATTATATTATAAATTATATATGCCTTTACAAAACACAACAAATGAAGAATTGTGTTTATTTGCATATTTCATTTTTCAGCAGTTTTTTTTATCAAAAAGTAAGTTAAAGATGTAACAAAAAAAAAATTTAAAAATATCAGTTATGATTATTATATATAATATGACAGAAAATGACATCTCACTACCCCTCATCTAATGGTATCTGTTATTTATTTATTTATTTAGAATATAATATCAAATGGAGGTGACACATACAATGCAGTTTATTCATATTTCTTTTTATTATTATTTTTATTAAGGAATTTCGCGACTGACTCTTGGCCACAACAGAATATCAGTATTTTGCTCTTTTAAGGGCAAAGCAATAAACTGAGCTGTGACCATTTTGTGTTACTATGGCACACGCATGGAGGAAAGGGAAGAAAGGAAATTGTTGGTTTATATATTTTGCTTTTTGTTTTGTTGCTTTTTTATTTTTATTCTTTTATCTCTTATACTGTGTATTATGTGTATGTTTTATTGTAATTTGTATGCTTTAAGTAATGTAAATAAATTATCTATCTATCTATATAGCTATTATAATTTTAAAACTTTAAACACTTTTGCAGTAAATTTTGGCCAAATGTTAGCTGTAAAATATTGTGGCTGCAAGATATCTCAAATACTTCAAATTATCTTTTATTCAAAGTACTATGAAGAAAACCAATATGGGAACTGTATAATACATATGACAAAAATTTATACATACAAAAATATGGAAATATATTATGCATGAGCTACAAGCATACATTACAACAATTAATTAATAATCTAATGAATGTAGCAATCCGTGGTTACACATGCATATTTGTACCTCAACAAAGGCAATGTTAAAAAACAGCTTTACATAATAAATCAGTTTGAAGAACACCAAGAAACAACAATGTCTTTTACTAACTTAAGCAACACGCCGCACCTATTCACTCTAATATTAACAATATTAGCTGTCAGTGTAACAGGCCCATGGTATTGTCTATATTTTTATTTATATTGATTTTTATAATAAAAATGTTCATTTGGTGAAGCCGACATCAAAATTAGATAGATATAGTTAAATAATCTCATTAATATAATAAAATTCTAACTGGACAATGCCTGTACATGGGGTAATCATTTATAATAGGATACCAAAAAAAATAAGAGAATTGCCATTAAATTATTTTAAATTAAAATTGAAAACATGGTTAATAGAAAATAATTTTTACAATATTAATGAGTTTTTGTAAAATATAAATAACATGACATTGACTTTTTTTATTGTAATTTTAATTTTATTTGACATTTTTATTACTAATTGATACAAAGTGAAACTAAATAATTTTTAAAAATATATGATGCCTCTCTGTGGATAAATTCAATGTATATTTGCCATTTGGCGAAACATAATGGACATCTTATAAACTTCACAAATGCAACACCTTTTCTACAATGTTTCTAGCAAATAAATTTCATTTCATTTCATTTAATAATTTAAGAAAAATAACATGAGGACTTTTTTTTAGGACTAATTGATACTAAAAAATAATTTTTAAAAATTTTGCCTCTCTGTCTGTATATTTGTTTTGGTATCATGCAAAAACTACTGCACTAAATTTGATACGGTTGTCACAGTTATGAGAACCGCATTACTGAAAGTCTAAATTAAAATGTGGTGTATGGTTCATTTTCATAAATCATCTAGAAGTACTCTATTTGTAAAAAGCTAATATTTTATAAATCTTCAATTCAAGTATAGGCCCATCTTATAGTAACTGACTAATAGCTTAGTTTCAAGTTTTTTGTAAATATCACAAAAGGGTGTAAAAAGTTTTTTTTTTGCAATGAGATTAAATAGTTTTGAAAAGTTTGCATACTGTGGATGATACAAGTGTTAAACAAATGTATGTACATAGTCAAACCTATGCAAAAAATATATTGTGATAGTGCTTTAGTTGTTATAGAACATGGCATTTTATCAGAGGCATGTATGACCTTCTATTTATACTTTTGTCTATTCAACAATTCAGTCTAGTTATATTTATTTGACTGTAATTATGTAGTATCTATTTTGCTTAGGTGATAACAAAATTTTTTCATTGTGACGTCTTTAAGCAAAACTAAAGCTATTAATTTATGTTTAATTATTCTTGTAAGAGTCTTATTGGGAACCCTAAAACTTAATTCTGTGACTTGAGTAGTGTCAGTGTGGCACAGATGATTTGTAGTAAGGAAATTGATGTCTCAAGATAAATAGTGCTCGTGAACGTAGTCCATCCAATGGAGACGTCCGCAATAATTGGTTGAGAGGACACTCAATGAATGAACACAAATTGACTATAATTGATAAAAAAAAATATAATGGACGTCATTATTTCAATTACCCGCCATTGGGAGCATTTAAAGAATGAAAGCAAAAGTAAGTTCTCGATTGGAATTGGAAACTTATTTTCCCATTCGAGGGAAATTTTGAAGTTCGAACGTATAATACGACTGATTACAAAAGTATTTTTCTTATCTACAGCGTGTAGTAAACAATGTACAATCCAAACTGGTTGTATTTAATGTATTTTTTTAACAAACACGTTCTCGCTCTTCTCGCCCCCTCAACCATCAGTAGATTAAACAAGTTCTTATTAGTTGTTTGTTTGGCAAACCTGGCCGCAGCATCCAAACGAGCCTCGGGCGAATGGAAAAAACCTACACAGCACAACATCATAAACAAGCACAAAAAACACTCAGGACGTCGCGTAGACGAACACTATCACCGTTTAAAGGCAAATAAACACCAATTAAACACTAATATCACTGAAAAACGCGACGGAATGATGATGGTACGCACCTTACTCTTAGTAATAACATGTGTAGCCAGTTTTACAACAGCGAAATTCCCTGTACCGATTGTTTTCTCTAACTCGTAATTACCAACACACACGAGTTGGTCTATCGGAAAATGTTTGCTTTTGTGCATCGGCTTGATATTGTTAGCCATTTTCGTGAAAAACGCGAGAAAACTCAGCCGACCTCACTAATCTGTCGAGCGATTTTTGTCTACTGTTGTTAGTTCGTTCTGGTTGCCGTTGCGGCGCCACCGGCGCTCACGTCATTCGACTGGGGACGTTCATGTACGGACTCTGATATTCCATTAAGTAATGTAATTAATAAAGTAACCAACTAATCATTCATTGTGTGTGATCTCAATTATAATAATGTTGGACTATTAGAAACAACTTTAAATTGACTTTAAAATAGATAACATGCATTATCTCAGTTTCTTATCAGTGTTTTTCTTATCAATACGTATGGTCGTAGTTGATCATCACACAGGCTCGAAAAAAAAGAGCTCAATTCACAACCTTTATACGACTATTGTTGTTTCTCTTACGCTCATTCACTATTCGAATGTTAAAATAGGACAAGTATACTGGTATCTGATCGGCTATAGATCCAGTGACGTCAACATCACGGTGTTTACGTCATTCGCGCCAATTTCAAACGGCATGGGGCACGTCAGTCAGTACATTTTATCGATTTTGTAAAATGCAAAAATGCACACAAGTGGCTCTATTTATTCAGCTAATAGGTTGTAGGTTTTTCTAATAAAATAGTTACTAATTTATCTCTTGTCTTTATTACGGACGTCTGTGAGATGAGAGAAAGGAAAAAAAAATGGAATCACATTTAAGTGCGTTATAATTTTGTCAAATTATTATTACCTAGCTACAATTTGAAAAATAATATAATCGATTGTAAAAAAGAATACGAATAGAAGGAAATGATGTTAAATCAATTAATTAATTATGTAATTTATGATACTGAATGTCCATACATACTATAACATATGTTTAAGATATTTGTTAGAGATAGGATTATCAAAAACGAAATGAAACAATTTTTCAGTTATGTGCAAAACGAAATAAGTAGCTGTAGGTAGCTTTGTTTTTCTGTCCTTGAACTTATTTGGAGGTCAACTAAGTAAGTATACTGGATATAAAATTGTATGTATAAATTACTGTACGTATAAAATTGAAGGTTGTGGGAATGAAAAAACATGATATTAAAGTTACAATTATTATTAAATAAGAGCTTTCATTACTTTAGCTTATCAAAGTGTGGCAACGTCGTATCTGCCAAATTTAAAAACAATGTTTAGTAAGCTAATGTTTTCTAACCTTATCACATACTGCCATCTGTTATTGAATAGAAGAATTAAATTTGGACTACAGTTAAAGTTTCAAATATATGTTAAGAGATGGCGCTTTAATATTACCTGCAAATAAATTCTCCTCCGCACTTCTGATAAGGGGCCGAGGCAATGTAATTATGATATCAAAGACTATCGTATCCGATAAAAAAGAAACTAATACATTTGATTGCATGATTGCTATTAATTTAGATTAACTTATCCAAAAATCATTATCAATTCTTCAATCAAAGGGAAAACTATAACAGCTGTATTAAATTTTCACCAAGAATTGGTGTCGTGTACAGAGTAAGAACAGTGTCATTACCCTTTCACATCTCGCACATGACGTTGTAAGGGGCACCCGACGGAAGCACGCAGCAAAGGAATCTAAAATAGGGCTATAGATAGAATCGAAACTGTTTTTGAAAGGGCAAATAATGAATAAAACAAACTCGAATGATTTACTTTAAATATATATTTCTATAATATAAATCTGTTACGTATGCCATAATATATATATTGACCGCGCCGCTGCCTCTCCATTATAAAATATGTAATAATAATAATAAAAATTATTTAATAATATTAATAATACAGTGATCATCAACAAACATCTTTGGTTAAAACAAGATTCATTCAAATAGCGAATTAAATAATTTAATTATAACAAATTAATAAAGTAATTTATTTCACATTCTGTGGGCAATAACAATCACAACGTTACAATTATAACGTTCCAAACGACTCGAGAAATAATGTGAACAAAACATACGTATATGTATACACAGTCGAGCGCACGCCGCCGAATTGTTGGTAGTATTAAGAAGTGGGAAAGTAGTAAGACGTGAAAACAATACTTTCACTTGATTGAATTGAATCAGTTTACACAATTTGATAAATGGAAATTTTAAATAATCAATCGCCAGGAACATTTTGAGCATGCATCTTACATATGTCAATATATGACGTTACGTATACAAATAATAGATTCCAGAGCGTATCTCTCTCTCTGTCTATCGTATCTTGTATAAATAACAATTCCCGTCGCTCGTGTGGCATTCTGGATTGTTTACATTTGTTTCTCGTTTACGTTGGAACTAAAAACGTGCATATTCAAGTTGATAAAAATGCAATATCAATAGACGACCTTATTTTCTTGCGTGCACAATAAAAATGCCGTTTGTCATCTTGAATAGACACGAATACTTATAACACAATAGTGGACTTAGCAATACTCCATTTGATACATTGACAGCATCGAGTTACGATAAAATTGAGAGTTGGAAATTTTCATCCGCCTGTCAAGTGAACATTAGGCACATTCGGCTGGCAGGCCATCATGCCATCGCGGCACCACTGTTGCTGTAAGCTTGTACGCATAGATTTTATAGATAGAGCATTAAGTCTCAAAAACCGGTCAACATTTTGTTAGCTGTTCGTTTTTTTATAAAATGTATCTATCTAGACGTATTATTTAATAAATGAGTGTTTACGTATTAAAAAGATGCAGAAATTATAAGGGAAAATAAATATAGAAGTTATAAAGGAATCGCCCATAACTATTTATCACACAAAATTGTATAAAGAAATTGACCCGCTTTTCTCGAAGCATTTGTATGGAGACTCTATACAATCGAAGGCTGTTGCATTATATAATTATGGATGCCATTTAATCGCAAAATAATAATTTATTTGAATTTGAATTCATGTCTAGAATAAAAGCAGGTATAGTACATTGTAAGTAATTTTATTATAACCATTTAGTCATTATTTTGATTGAACCACTTGTTAAATTTCAAACTTTACATGCACCATTATGTATATTTTTTATTATGACTACTCTAGGAGTCGAGCGGTTCCTACCAAACTAGAATAACTACGAGTCAACAATTATAATTTTCGAATAAATCATTAATATTTACTAGTATTTGTTGAAAATATCGCATATATAAAATCACGCTAATTGACAATCAACAGCAAAACGTTTCAAGAATAAAAATATTTATGACTCGAGTAAATAAGCATTTTTGATTAGCCATTTTTTATGATTGTACGGTGGACCGTCCCATGTTTGTCTCCCACACGTTTTAGGAGTTGCCATTCTGAAAATGTTGCCTATTGTTTATTTGCATTGTTATCAAAATTTCCTTATTACCAAACGGAATATGGCCAAGTTGCAATTTATTATCTAGCGAGTAACTTAATTATCGTATTACAAGGCGCTGAAGGTAACAAAGTTAGTTCCTGAAGCAAGCGGTGATGAAGGTAAACCCTTAAGATTTCTATATTCCGGTCCACGGTTCCACGTTACACTAATGCAGTTATAACGAAAAGGTGGCAAACGAGCTCGCGACACTCATCGCCGCGGCTCGTTTACACCAGCCGATCCACTGCCGGCGTAATTTTTTTAAATCGTCTATCTAAATGCAAAGAAAAAAAAATATTTGGTGGTTAGTGTTGCCATATAATTTTATTCACAAGCTTGTACAGAAATTAAAAAAAAAAAATGGATATCCGTGGAGCGGAGACATCGCCTGACGTCACAATGTAACGTGTGTATTTTTAATGTGCTCTTATAGTATTTATATCTTTACACACTACACTTTAAGTTTCAATTTACTTTAATGGTGACTGAACACATTTACTGTGATTCGCTAATAATACTTTGTACACTAATCACACGGCGCCGCGCGCTGCACGCGGGCCTCCTGTCTGCTGGATCTGTACACGTTGCGAGTATTTATTTATAAGGGGAACAATATTTCGACATAAACAGGACGTATATGTTGTTAGCGTAGTTGGCTTGGTGTGTACACAGTACCAAACGACACAAACTATATCTCACAAACATTACTTTAGATAAATTCTTCCAAATTTAATTTTTTGACCATAAACTATTTTTACAATATCTGAGGAATAGACTAGAAATCACTTTTTTTTTTTACACAAATTAAAACTACATTAATTTTGTGATGCGAAAATAAAGTGTATTTAGTATTTAAACTTGAATGATTTATGCAAACATAAGGTACAGCTGCACATTATGCAACTAGCAACACTGCCCGATTAGTATGGCACTTTAGAAGAAAAAATATACCGATGTTGTGTGTATGCACATTGAATAGCCAAAGTTTTATAATATTTTAAAGCTGTATCTTTTATTGCAATATAATCTATCTTAATAAAAGAGCACTAACGCTACTGCAATAAGTACAAACAAGTTGTTACAATATAATCGCCAGCACGGAACGTGAAACGGAACATGCCAAATACAATTCGCTGCGCTTGGTATGTGAACTGTGTTTGTCACAGCGTCATTGCGCAACATACTGTTAATTAGTGAAACTAACAAATCGTTTACGGAATGACATACTGTGATTGCGTACAATTATATGCAATTTGAAAACGTTCCGTTTCACGCATCAATCTATATTTCATTTTAAAAATTCAATAAATTCAACAGCATTTGATTATTATGTCAGAGAAGGTTACATGTAACATATATTGCACACGTGTGGAGCCGGTCGAGTTACTCACACTGCTACATTCTCTATGGGCCATTGTTGCTCATTTCTAAAAAACACTGTATGTCAATTTTGTAACTAATTTTCATTCGTCTTTCCTTATAGAACGGCGCTCGCTCGCACACCACACTGAAAATAATAAAACAATTTATTTAAATTAACATCAATATCAATTTGATGAGCGACAAGGAGTCGCCGAGAAAAAGTAAATAATTTTTAAGACCTCAGACCGACATGAAGGGTTCTGCGAGTTTTTGATAATTTATAAAAAAAAATACAGTGATAATACATACAAGAACCATCAAGCGATCAATTCACACCGTGGTTATATTATCATGAAGTATTCTATATGAAGCTTATAAAATCAAAGGCAAATAAACACCATAGATTTAATATTTACTCTGTACTCGAATATTTCTCTTAATTAAAAGTTCTATTAATTATAATTCAAATTATTACTAATATTGTAATTGTTTTCAATCCATAAGATAAATATTTATTTATTTCTCATTGCATTCCATAATATAATTTGTAGATAACATTTCAATTATGGACCGTGTTGGGCACAGCGAGCACGAGAGAGGAGGACAACACTCTTTTCACTTTAGAAATAGTCTAAGGATCTGTTACAATATTATCCAGTCATTGAAATTGTATCACGATAGCTACGTATTTTCTGTATTATTATTATTCAATATTTAAGTATCGGTGTGTATGTATTCATATCGTAGTTGTTATTAGTATTATATAGTTATTTAATATATTGTGTAGTTTATAATTATTTATATTCATATTGTAGAATGAATTAATAAATAGTGTAATAATAAAATTTAAGCGATGCCAGTTTTAGCTATGTCTTAAATCATTATCAATTCATAATTAATTATTTACTTCTAATTTACAAGATAAATTCTGCTTGTCATTCAAGTATTCGTCAATAGTATAGTAGCATTTAGTAATTAATAACTTTTTAAGACTTCTTGAAAAAATATTGAATATCATTCCATATCTTTGACAAAATATTAGTTTTTGTAGTTTCTTGAGAATTTGACAGACTTGGAATTAGCTATCTTTGTCTTTATAGGCCTCATATGTCAAGTTAGTGTATAATTTACCCGTGTAGCAAATTTCATTAAATTCCATTGAGTAGTTGTTGCGTTTCAATCAAGTTGTATAGAAATATCACAGTTTTTTTTTGGCCAAGATGTTGAGTTCCAAGAACATCGATCTATCTATCACCGGGTTTTATCTTTGTAATATTTAAACCTAAATATTTTATTAATATCAACCAATTTACAGTAATCTCCCCTAACACGGTAGATACTTTCCGCGTTGTAGGAGTATTGTTGTATAACGCGTTTATATGACCCTGTATAACGCGCTTGTACGACTTCGTATAACACTCTTATACGACTTCGTATAACGCGTTATGTATAAATTATTCACGTTTAACTTTTCTCGTTAAAGTGGCGTTTAAATCGAATATTAATAAAAAAAAACTGTTCTGAACGAAATATGTGTGTTTTATTAAAACCAAACTAAGAACATTTTAAATTTAAAAACTTACGCATATGTAACTACTAAAAAACAATTAATTTTAAAATAAATTAACAATTTTATTACATGTTTATTCCCTGTCAAAGCTGTCTGAGATAACGTTCCACCGACATCTTTTTTTTAATAGAACGTTCAATCCCCGCATTGTATGGGGGAATACCCGTGGTTATACGAGCGATTGAAATCGCGTAAGATGAAAATGCATTATAAGAGTACCGTGTTATAGGGGGATCACTGTATTTGGTAAACTCTGTCAAGTCCCTAACGATGCCCTCTATGTCGAGGCTGTTTCCACGCCGAAGAAACGGCTGCTCACGTAATCCTGGAATGTGAGGCTGTGGCCCATCAACGTTTAGAAATCCTCACAACGGTGAGGTCGCTCCGTGAGGCCTGTGAAGAACCCAGGAAGCTTCTGCGCTTCTGGACGGAGCTAGGTTGGCTGTACTGGCCACGACTCATACGCACAACGGCCCAAATGAGAGGCTAAGCGCGGAAAATTCACACACATTCACACAAGTCCCTAACAAGTGGTATTGCATAGTTGGCCTCGAGTAATAGAACGAGAGCACCGCCTGATCATGGTTGAGGGCAGGTGGTGATCAGTTTACCTAGCGCGGCGGGCGGCTGTGTGCTACGGCCGCGCTACGAGGTCGGCCGCGCGAGCTCGTAGAACAGTACGTACGCTTCCGACGAGACCACGTTGCGCTGACTTATTGGCGTCACTCTGAAGACCAGATAAGACGGATTAAAAAATAAAAAATATATATATATATATATATATATATATATATATATATATATATATATATATATATATATATATATATATATATATATATATATATATGTAACTAGAGAGATTTCGACAGAGGGAGACTTTGTACAAAAGGTTGTTTGCTTGGGCACCTCTATTCCATTGTGTTTCTACCGTGAAGCAGTTGTTTGTATGGCTGTTTCGGTTTGAAGGATGGGATATGGCGTGAATTTACAGGGTACAGAGGAATAACACCTAAGTCCTCAGGAATGGCAACGCATGGGGGGGTATCATGGGCGTAACAGTATACTCTGTTATGTCCATGGTACTGCTCATGTCTATAGGCGACGGTTACCACTTTACATCAGATGGAATATCAGCTTGTTTGCCATTCTAAGTTGTATAAAAAAAAAATTGTCGCAAATTATAAAATTTTAGTATTTATTAAATTTAACTTCTTAAATGTCAGTGGAGACTAATCACCGACGATTACGTTATTCAATCCTGACCACTGACGATCATGGTCTTCGCGTCCAACTGACCTGGAGTCATTGTACTCGTGCCACTCGCCCGTATACGGATGCTTGCAGTACGCTGTGTAGTGGCCCGAATATGTTGTACCTAGAAATGTAAATATCAACGCTTTAACATAGAACGCTTATTTATTATTTATTAATTATGGGTGTTTAACAGTTTTTTAATAAATAGAATTAATATAACTATTGTAATTGTATTAAGAAATGAGCTCCCTGCCGAGATTTTCCCAAGAGACTACAGCATGGGGTTCTTCAAAAGAGAGGTTTCTTCAGGGTCGGCAACGCGCGAGTCATACCCCTAGTATTGCAAGCGCTCATAGACTACGGTAACCGTTTACCATCAGGTGGGCCGTATGCTTGTTTGTCTGCTCAGTAGTATAAAAAAGTAGTATGCAAAATATCAGCTCAATCGGTGATAATACGAGGTTTGTCCGGAAAGTACGTATAAAAGTTTTTTAAAAATTTTATTTTACAATTATTCAGGTAAATCAATTTTATCCCCTTCAAAGTACTCCCCCTGTGACATAATGCACTTGTGCCAACGCCGTTTCCACTGTGAGAAGGCTCCTTGAAAGTCCTCTGGTTGTAGGTTTCTCAGCTGCCCCGTCGTAGCTTTTTTTATCTCATTTATGTCCCCCAAATGCCGCCCCCGAAGTACCAATTTGGTTTTTGGGAACAAGAAGAAGTCACACGGGGCCAAATCCGGCGAATAGGGGGGTGTTCGGTCACCGTAATGGAATTTTTACTCAAAAACTCACGGACAACAAGAGAGGTGTGGGCAGGGGCATTGTCGTGGTGAAGAATCCAACGCCCCTCTCGCGCCAATTCTGGACGAACTCGTGCCACACGAGCTTTGAGGCGTCTGAGCACATCGACGTAGAATTTTCCATCAACTGTCTGGCCTGGAGGGACGAATTCTTGATGGACAATCCCCCGAACATCGAAAAAAACAATCAACATTGTCTTGACATTTGAGCGGGATTTTCTTGATTTTTTTGTTCGTGGTTCCCCGGATGTCTTATTAGATCGGCAAAAATTTCACGGCCATTCTTGCCGAGTTTCGAGAGAAACTTGATTACGACGCGCTGCTCTTCAACGGAAGCGGGCTCCATGCCGACGCCAGTTTCGTTAAGAGGTAACTTCACAGATGGCGTGACAAGCCAGTTATACCGCACGGCGGTCAGACCAGAACTGAAGCATTGTTAGGGACATAAGGAAAGACTCTCGCATTCCAGAACACTTTTATACGAACTTTCCGGACAGACCTCGTAGACTAAGGTAACCGTTTACCATCAGATGGGCCGTATGCTTGTTTGTCACCTCAGTAGTATAAAAAAAGTAGTATGCAAAATATCAGCTCAGTGGGTGTTAACTTTCAAAAACGTAACTGGACAAATCATGATGCCATAAAAGAGAAATTAATGGACACGAGATTTAATCGAGTAGTATACAAGAAGCGGGAAAAAATCTGAGAAAGACTTATCCAGAAGATGGGGAGATTATTTGCCCAATCACTACAAATGACAAAATATGGAAGAAAGAGTCCAAGGACAAGCAGAAAAGTAAGATATTGTTTGTCAATGTCAAAATATGCTACTTATAAGAAAATCTGTAGTTTAAGAGGAAAGTTTTTTTTATTAAAGTACGCACCGGAGTGGTTGCTGACCGCGTACAGGTTGTAGAACGAGCGCGTGCCGGGCGCGGCCGCGTACGGCGACATGTCCAGGCCGCTCAGCGGGAACTCCACCAGCACGTTCAGCTTGCCGCGGAACCGCTCCTGCGGGGAGAACCTGCCACCACCACGAGGAACGGGGTGCTACATTATTGCAGAGTCACAATAGAAACGCACGACGATTATGTGGCTAAGAGTGATGATATAAATGTCACGCCTATCTCCCATTGGGTTAGGCAGAAACAATGGAACGCCAAATGCTTCGACTCAAACAAACCTCTTTCGCTTCCTCCACATTCATCAATCTTTTCGTACACGCTCGCCGGTTACGGGTACTTTTAATTTGGTCCTTCTTCAGCACGTCGCCTATTTGGTCGACATACGTCCGTCTAGGGCGGCCCCTACCGACATCTCCATTCATTCTTGCTCGATAAATCTCTTTCGTTATTCTTCCTTCATCCGTCCTCTCCAAATGGCCAAGCCAACGCAACATTCCTTTTTCAATTTTTGTCTCTACATCGTCTTTCAGTCCACATTTCTCTCTAATCCCACTGTTTCTCGCTCTATCTTTTAATGTAACACCACATAGACTTCTCAGTACAGCATTTATGCTTTTGTGCTTCTTCTGCCGTATAAATATATGGTAAAATAAAATACCAACTACAAGCTGCTATCGGATGGTGTTTTACATGCATAGATCTTCAAGCGACTTTCAATAGATTATCAATTCACCTACACTTTTGCGCTATGTCTTGATTACGGCGTTAATTTTGAACAGATTTTAATTATCCTTTTTACAATCGATGGAATCCCGAATTCCGGGTTGATCTTAGATTTCAGGGAAATGACTAAAACCGCATGTTTTTTTTGCACACTACTACTAGTAAAATACGGTTGGTAATTTTAGGAGAAAGGTCATTCATCACATGCTTAAGAGTAACGTGTTTGAAAGTAGATGGGTGATCAGTTTGGGTAAGTTACATAGAAGGCAACGCTCACCTCTTGAGATGCAGCACCAGCACCTGCGGGAACTTCTGCACAGTGAACCACTTGAGGCACTTCCGTCGCACGCCGCACTTTGAACACGTCTGCAAATGCATATATATAATATATAATGGTATATCTAAATATGATTTAAGATAGATATATGTATTTCTGAAGGTTTCTTAAAGTGTTTCTATAGAAATAAAAGGTACATTATGTAGTAAAAATAACTGGTTGACTTATCCGGCTCGAAGGACCAAATCATATGTAGACGATTTGGTCCTTCGAGCCGGATAAGTCAACCAGTGTTTTCTATCATTAGAGAGCTGGACATTACCACAATAAATGTGACACAAATTCATTTATTTTCTTTCAATATTGAATCCCAATTCATAATACAGTCATGAATCGAGACAACAAATGCCTAGGTAATGCCCGTCTTTTAATAATATGAGGCATTTTAAAAAACCTAACGTACCGGTTTTTCATCGCCGTCTAATTCTTCTTCCTTAGTGAAATGTTGGAGGCACTGTTGTAGCTTCAGGTTCCCGGTGCGCGACGGTATCGGCAGACTGTGGATACATGAATAAACGCTCTTGTTATGTTGTCACAATAGATCCCTTACTGTGGTTAATGATTAATAGAGACCAAAACAACAATTTTTTTAAATATTGTCTGTATATATGTTCCAGCATCACGTAAACACTACTGCAACAAACTGGATGAGGATAAATTTAAATATTAAATGTTTTTAGGTTAGGTACGAAATTTATATATATTGTATATGTACTTTTTATTTGATCACTTTGACCAGGTAAGTGTTTCACATTGATGGCATAATGTACTCATACTTCCAGGGATTTATAAGATGAAGTAACAGTGGTCAGACCACATATGTCGAGCAACCAATAAGCAGTGGGGAAGAAAGATCCTCCAGAATTGATCCTGTACGAGTAAATCTAGTGTAGGTTTTTTTTTTATAGGATGAGACTGGAATAGTAATTCCGCCAGTGCTACCGGTATAGCCTGGCGGGGTATCAATGGAATGAAATTAAGTAAATTGGCCAATCATGATGAATTTGCTATGAATTAATTATGATGGTCTCCATGGAGGTCAACCTGGAGGGTATATTCTTAGCAAACAGATGTATTTTTTATTGGAATGGTAACCCTGCCTACGCTATTGGTATAAACTGGCGTGGCACCAGTGAGGGGTGATAGATGGGGATGAAAGCAGGTCAGTCAGCCTATCAAACTCCACAAGAATTAACCATGATTGTTTCCAGGGGGTACCTCATGGAGGTCGACTTAATAGGGTATATTGCTGGCAATGGGACTGGTAGTCCGCATTACTAATCATCCCTTCTCCCGCAATGAGATGTTTAGTGGCCGCCCAGCGCAGGTCGATCTGCACGAGATCAAACTGTTGCAGATGGAAGGATGCAGTTGGTTTAGGAGCGCATTAGCGGTATGACCGACCTGAGGTCCCAGAAGGGGTCGAAGGTGACGCTGTCGTGGTGGCAGTGCGTGCAGCGCAGCGTGGACTTGAGCTGGCCCACGAAGATGTCGCCCACGCGCGACTCCTCCATGCGCAGGTAGCGGCTCCACGCCTCCGCCGCCGCCGCCGAGTCGCTGCACACACAAACAAACGGTATATTACAATAAGCATTATCATTGGTGTAAAAACTCATAAACTGACTTCAGAGGGCCCACGATCGAACTCAGTCTAGACCACTGAATTATCAAATCCATATTTGGATATATTATTAACGATTGTCGCTCGTTTCGAACTCGACCAGGCACGTAAAGGCCGTCATCTATAGACATGAACATAACAGAATATACTGTGTTACCTATGACACTCCTCATACGTTGCCATTCCTGAGGACTAAGATGTTATGCCTCTGCACCCTGTAAATTAATGCAGTAAATGTGGCTTAGAAACTCTTGGCACTAGAGGGAGCCACCCTAACACGAGTAATAGTAGTAATTAAATCTAGAAGTGGTAACATTAACCTAGTACTACAAGAAAATACATAATAAATCACTGCAGTAGTAAAGAGTATATCCCCAAATCTCTCCCTACCTCTAGAATACTTTAAAGGCATAACGAAAGAACAAAAAAACCTGATATATTGTCCAAAAAAAGGAAAATTTAAATTAAATGCCCTATCTATACCAGGTTTTCCGGCCAGAATGGTAAATATCACTCTTTTATGGAGAAAGACCAGTGCTCAGTGGGACGATGAGACGAGGAGAGATAATAAACAACACGTACCTGAGATTGTCATCGATCTCCGTGAGTATCGGCTTCGGTTTCACTGTCACCCTGTTGACGTCCTCGTGCAGGCCCTCCAGCAGGTACCGCAGGAACTCCTGCAACAACATGAAATATCACTTTAAATCAGAGGTTTAGAACATTCAATAAAAATATGTAGAGGGCCGTTTACTTCAGCCGTCCCTCGGCATCAGTTATATATATATATATATACTGATGGAAAGCGTTAACCGTCGCTTATAGACATGAGCAGTACCATGGACATAACAGAGTATACACTATTTCGCCCATTATACCCCATGCGTTGCCATTCCTGAGCACTTGGGTATTATTTCTCTGTACCTTTCAAACCGAAACACAGCCATGTAAACACAACTGCTATATTAACATTAGAAGAAAACTGTAAGATATGGTAAAATGTCGCGGGGCACGGCTAGTGTTTTCTGTGTTGTATAAAAAAAGAGTAAGTAGTAAATAAAGTTGTATAACATCAAAAGTCAGAGCGTAGAAATAGAAAAAAAAAATTAGAGACAGTAAAGTGTGGACTGAAAAACGATATAGTGACAAAAATTAAACAAAAGTGTTGGAGTTGTCACTTGGAAAGGATGTAGTATGAATGTATGAAGTAGGTCAGTTAACTAATTCATGTTGAATTCATCACGATGATTTCCATGGGGAACCACGTGAAGGTCGACCTGATAGGGTATATTGCCAGCAATGGGGCTGTCAAACCCCATTACTAATAATCCCTTCCCCCCCATGAGGTGGGTTACTTGAATGGCGTACGTACCTGGGCGTCCTGCTGGCTGTAGCCCATGAACCGGGGCGCGAACCGCTGCACCTGCGACTTGAGCGTGGTGGTGTTGACGACGCAGTCGCGCTCGCCGCTGCGCCACAGCTCTTTGATCACGCTCGCGAACGCTGCGACACACAATTCACACGTATCTGTCTGTTTCACTGTATGGATAATCTGGTAGTATTATTTTATTGTTACCCTATTCCCTTTGGCCGCAACAGAATATCAGTGTTTTGCTCTTTTGAGGGCGGAGCAATAAACTGAGTTGTGACCATTTTGTATTGTTATGGCAAACGCATAAAAGGAAAAACTGTACTTATGTATTTTTTTTAATAATTTATCTTAACACGCTTTTTATGTATATCGGTATGTGCTGTAAGTAATACAAATAAATTATCTATCCATCTACTTGGCGACCACAGAGCAACTTAGGAAGTTTGAACAAGAGTCTTGAAAATTTTTAACATTTTTCTTTCTAAAAAATATAATCTGATGATGTAATTTTAAAAAACAACCAATTCTGTTGTCCAGCGATACAATGTTCATTAAAGAGCAGCATTCAAATTAAACACACAGACATAAAAGTGCAGCTGCTTTGTGACAGAAATACGTGTGGCAAACGAGCTGACGGTCTATCACGAGTGTTTTTTTTAATGGGTGATAATAGAATGGTAACCACATCCGCGCTATCGGTATACGCTGGCGCGGCACCAGTCAGGGGTGATAGGTGAGAATGAAAAAGCAGGTCAGTTAGCCCATTATGACAAATTTCACTAGAAATAACCACGATGGTTTCCAGGGGGAACCGCGGGGAGGTCAACCTGATAGGGTGTATTGCCAGCATTACTAACAATCCCTCCCCCCCCCCATTACGAGTGTTAAAAAGCCCACCTTATACGAACAAAGTTAGATTTGCTTTTTCTTTTTAAGTTCAATTGGCTTTTCATATTTAGGATATAAAATTAACAGACTAGTATATTTACATAGACGACTCAGCTCACGTATATATTTCAGACAAGTGTCCACTGCTGGACATAAGCCTTTCCCATAAGGGGAGTTTCGCCAGTATATGTTAAGCTTGGCAGGCGGGTTGGCAACCGCAGTTAGACTTTTAGAGATGGTTTAAGAGGGTCGCTGCTGCCCATCCTTAGTGGCCTCTTCCGGCACCCACGGGAAAAAGGAATGGGTGGCCCATTCTATGCCGGAACACACACGGCTAACTACGATCCGATTACAGCAGGCTAATGAGATCTCCAGGTAGGAAGGCTACCGTCACTCAAGGACTGCTTACTGCAGAACACGTACGCTTGCTAGTGGCTCGTGGCTCGCGGCGCATGGCATGCTATACTAACCTTTGATGAGCGCGCCCTTCATGCAAGAGAGCGTGGTGTTGATGTCGGCCGAGTACTGGTCGTCGGCGAGGTACTCGAGCAGCGGCCGCGTGTTCGACAGGCACTGCACCACGCTGTTCATGAAGCACGTGTTGCCGATGTTGCGAAGACCGTTCAGACCTGCAATCGTTCGCCGCTACTTTAATATATGTGCCACGTGCATAGTAGACTTATAATTATCAGGATAGGTCGCTGGATGATTCATAATATGATAGGGGCTCCAGCTTTTGTCATATTTCATTGTTAATGGGCAAACTGACCTGCCTTTTCATCCTCACCTATTGTTTCAGCTTGGGATATATATTGGTTTTTGATTAAAAATAACATATTAGAATGTATCCTTATCCGGACCAAGAATTTTTTTTTTTATATAACTTAGAATGGCAAACAAGCTGACGGCCCACCTGATGGAAAGTGGTAACCGTCGCCTACAGACATGAGCAGTACCATGGACATAACAGAGTATACTGTTTCGCCCATGATATCCCCATGCGTTGCCATTCCTGAGGACTCAGGTGTTATTCCTCTCTACTCTGTAAATTCACGCCATATCCCACTCTTCAAACCGAAACACAGCCATGTAAACACAGCTGCTTCACGGTTGAAACACGAATGGGACAGAGGTACCCAAGCAATCGACTTTTGTACAAAGTCTCCCTCTGGAGACATATATATATATATATATATATATATATATATATATATATATATATACAGTGAGTGTAGAAAGTATTCGTACACCTAGGGTTATAATAAAAAAAATACGAATTTGATAGACTTTCTTTTATTTATCTAATTTAAATCAATACTATTTAATATTTTAACATTCCCGCACTTTGTTTATGATAATTTTTGTTTTTTAATAAAAAAAATTATACAACATAAAAATATTTTTACGTTAACTAAGCAAATAATGACAAACAAAAAGTATTCGTACATTCATTCTTTTTTAAATGAAATTCTGTATAAATCATTTATTCAATCGAATTTTTCATATATCTACAATGCCAAGGTCATTTTTAATACGTAGGTATAGATATTAGACGTTTTAGTTGCACTCGTGACAAGTATAGACGTGTTTAGTTACAAAAATAGGTCGTAAAGCAAAAGAAACGAGTGAAGAGGAGAGAAAAATAATTATTAATTTACATAATCAATGCAAATCATTATGTGAAATTGCAAAATTTGTCAATAGACCACGTTCAACCGTACAGACTATAATTGATCGGTTTTCTATTACTAAAACACTAAAAAACAAACCCAGAGGTGGGGCGTCCATCAAAAATCACGCCTCGATTGGATCGGAAAATTTTAAATTGTGTAAAAAAAAATCCAAAAATTAGTGCCCCTCGAGTCTTACAAGAAATTAATAATATCAATGATTGCCATATTTCTGTCAGTACCGTTCGGAACGTATTACGTAGTAACGATTATCATGGAAGAACTGCGCGTAAAAAGTATTGGGTAAATGATATTAATAGAAAAAAGATTAGAATTCGCAAAAAATATATTAATGAAAAAAATCATTTTTGGCAAACTGTTATTTACTCAGATGAATCGAAATATAATATTTTCAAATCGGATGGACATCATATGGTATGGAGAAAACCTAATATGGAATATAAGAAAGAAAATTTATGTCCAACGGTAAAACACGGTGGTGGGTCAGTATTTGTATGGGGTTGCATGAGTGCTTTTGGGGTGGGAAAACTTGCATTTATTGATGGAATTAGGGATCACAAAACGTATATTAATATTTTAAAAGAGAATCTTCTCTCTAGTGCAGCTCAAATGGGTTTTAACAATAATTGGATATTTTTACAAGATAATGACCCTAAACATAAAGCATGGAATAATTAAGCATGGATCCTGTTTAACGCTCCAAAATACCTAGAGATTCCTCCTCAATCACCTGATATTAATATTATAGAGCATGTGTGGGATTATCTCGATAATAAAATTCGAAATCGACCAATTTCGTGTAAAGAAACACTAAAAATTGCGCTTCGCGAAGAATGGGCATTGATACCGTCTTCTTATATTTTCAAACTAGTTGATTCGATGCCGCAGAGACTCCAAGCTATCATCAATGCTAACGGTGGTCCAACAAAGTATTAATATTTTTTTAATATTCATTTACTTACAAATTTTATAAGTGTACGAATACTTTTTGTTTGTCATTATTTGCATAGTTAACGTAAAAATATTTTTATGTTGTATAATTTTTTTTATTAAAAAACAAAAATTATATATATATATATATATATATATATATATATATATATATATATATATATATATACACTCACTGTATATATATACAGCATATTGACATGAAATTATATTTGATATGTTTGTATATTTTTTTTATAAGAATTGTTATAACCAATTATTTTAATCCTCAATCCAATAAATATTTATACGTTTTGGGTTTTTAAATTTTGCACGTGTTGCAGGCGAAACATGTGGATTTACATCTAGTGTTAACATCTATAAACTTACCATGTTTCTTGTAAATAAATATTTGTATTAATACGTTTTATATTAAACTAAATATTCGAACAGAGACAATTTTCCCTCCTTAAAACACAATACGGTTACCGAATTAGTGATGAGACATTACTATGAGTCGCTCGCGACCGACTAGTGATGCGCCTGAACATTCTCCGGGGGCTTGGAAGCGATAGCTTCTATGAAGTGCCCTCTGGCATCTCCATTAACGGACAAAAATATTTCACAGCACGTCGAAAGTTGCCCGAAGCAGTTTTAATTTCAGCAATTCGAACCACCCTATCTTGACATGGGAATAGAGCGCAAATCCAACCTATTTTCCTGCACTTCGGTGGCGATGTTTCTTCTTCCAATATCATCAAGCCACCTATCTGAAGTTGTCGGCCCAGGGTCCGCCATTTTTGTCTCAGTTGCTGCTCAGCTACATATTCCGACTGCCAGGGTTTCCAAAATTGCTCTCTCAAAACTCCAATCTCTAGAAATGGTTCAATCGGTTTATATTCTTGTAGACTGGTCGTTGGTAGCTCTCTAGCTAAGAGTGGTCTCCAAAAAGGAAGTGCCCCAAGGTTAAAGGAGGTCATAGGGACAAGACGATAGGGGATATAAAGATCGATTGTTAAGCATTGCCTCGACTAAAAAAGTTTACTTTATTAATCCCGCGACTTTTTGTGGAACTTCTTTGTAAATTACTAAACGTCAATTCTGAAAAAAATTGTAAGAACGAATCATGTCAGAGAATTGATAGTGTTTATTATGGAATCAAGCATAACCAGTTAACTGGAGTTGGATTAATATTAGTAACTTCAGTAGGTAAAGTTATTTTGGGCTATGAACGTCGCAACATCAGAATTATTTATAATTTTTTTTTATAATGAAACAATTCAATAATATTTAACATTTTTGGCTCTTTATATGTTAAAAGTTTCAAATTTAACATTTAAATAAACAATCAGAAATATTTAACTCGTTTAACACAAGTTAAACTCGCTTTTGAACTATTACATTACATGCGTATCTTCATTATGACTACACACTTATCTTTTACATTATTCAGAGTTTAAACAATTCACCATGACTAGTGTGAGGTATGTCCAATGGTGGGATTATAACATTCTATACTCTGTAAAAGTATATAAGTGAATAACATAAATGGAAGAGAACTCTCACAGAGTTAATCTCGCCTGTTTTACATCTTCATTTAATATAAATTATAACAATGTAATTTTTGTGTACAAAAAAGTTTAAATAAATAAAATTATCTACAAATTAATAAAAAATGAAATTGGCAAGTTTTGTTTACATTGTAACTGATTTAGAGAGTCTATTTAGTAAGAACGGTAACATCGTATTTCTGTGAATTTTCCATTATCATTGTTATATTTTCTTGTTTTTATTTTATATATACAGGATATTGTCTCCAACAATTAAGAACTATTGAGCTAACATTGTGCGTAAAGTTGGACAACTGCACTTTGATTTCACAGTCACAATGGTATCTTATTTATAGTGTTTCTGTGACACATTGACGGTAACTGTAACATAGATTTGAAAATTATTTATTTATTTATATACATATTTATGGTGAGTTTTACAGTTTTTACTAATGCACTTACTAAAAATTAAAAAATCAAACATTATAATAATAATACAATATTGAAATAATAATAATAAAAATCTAATTATGTTACCGCTCTGCAAAACTCTGTGGCGGTACAGTGAAATAAGTCCAGATTGGAACTCGCTACTACCTCATTGAGCACACGTAGCGCCCTCGTGAGTGGCGCCTGATAACATATGTAAAAAAGGAAGGATATATATATATATATATATATATATATATATATATATATATATATATATATATATATATATATATATATATATATATATATATATAAAATTTAATACAAAAAGAACTACGCCCAGTACACAGACCATCAGTGACCCTGGAGGTCGTCGCCTCCGGAGTTGAAGCCGGGGCAGAAGGGTTTACCCCGAGGCCCCCACCTCGCCCGCCCGCACAACATAAGGCGGACATAGAGAAGTCCATGATTGATTGATTATTATAATTAAAAACAACTAAATACGACAGAACATAGGGATGATGGCGTCCTCACCAAACACACATGTCTCTTTAGAATTATATGTGAGATAACAAGTTAAATTCATTTACAAAGTTATTACAATAAAAATTATATTTATTTCAGCCGTTAACTGTCCACTGCTGGACATTAGCCTTCTCCATAATATGGCAGTTTCGCCAGTAGTTGCCACGCTTGGCAGGCGGGTTGGCAACCGCAGCTTTTACATATGTATTAAGAGGGGCGCTGCTGCCCATCCTTCTACCATATGTTCCCTTAGTCGCCTCTTACGACACCCATGGTAAAGGAAGGGATGGCCCATTCTATGCCGGGACCTACACGGCGAACACATAAAAATAAAAATGATACAAAACAATAATAAAAAAAATAGCCATGTAATATTATGGGTACATATCGTCATAGTGGTAGAATACTGACGGATCTGACAAATGTTACATATAAAGATCCGTCAGTATTCTACGACTGTGACGATATGTATATTAGTAGTTATTCATAAAATTAAGTTTAAACTGCTTCTGTACTAAGTTGATATTACAATTCGAAGTAGGTAGGTATGACGAAAAAAAAATTAACAGGTAATTAAAAAAAAAACATTCAATAGCTTGGAAATTAGTTGTTTATCTATGCTTATAGGTAAATAGCCATGAAGAATTGATAGGATGCGAGAAAATACTGAAATATTTACAAATTAAAATACATATCGAGGTGGGCAGACTATTAATAAATAGTGTATATATAGGATGAGGCACTTCCCATGTCAAGCTGTAGCTGCAGCTCTGCTCGCAGGCTGCCGATTAACCGGCTCGCTTATAACAATAAGTGATTGGCCTTCCAAGTATGTTGCAATTCGCTTATCAAACAGTGAATAGCTGGTGTAGGTACCCTGTTCACTCAGCTAAGTTGTAGCTGCGGCGTCACTTCCAATACTTGGTTATTTCGGTAGATTTGACTGACCACACAGACTTCATGCGATAATATAAATAGCAGGTAGATTTTGATACAGAAATATTTATTATATCACTTGTTATATTTGTTTCCACTATGTTTCTTGGTTAACTTCAACAACACATTAAAATATATTGAATTTGTCGTTCGATTTCAAATTTGATAAATATTTCCTCTTCCTGAAAACTTAGTAATTTTTTTGTTTTTTTTTTTTGCGGGTATATCATTTTATTTCTTCTTTCGACGAAAATCACTTCGGGGACGCCATGTTCCAACTTGTGTTGTATACTGGTTCTTGATTTAAAATAACTTTGATCCGACTACAATATTTGTAGTAACGAATTTTATATTAAATTTAATAATCGATCACGGAACACGGAGACAATTTTTCCTCCTTCTAATACAATAATGGTTACTGAATTAGTGATGGGACGTTATTTTGAGTCGATCGCGACCGACTAGTGATGTACCTGAACACCTATTATTTCTCACTGGTGCCCCGCCAGTGTATGCCGATAGCGTAGGCGGGGTTACCACTCCAATATCACGCATTAAAATAAAAAAAAAAGAAATGTCACTGTCAAAGGGGGTGGTGATTATTATCAATGACAATCTACAGAAAACCCAATTAAATACAGTAGGAAGTAAGGAGGTGAGGGGGTTGTTTTAACATTTTCAAATTATGGGTAAATTAAGTATACATTTTTCCTGAATTGGCGGATTAAGGACTTTTTTTTAATGCTGCCGTAAAGTGGTAACCCCAATTTACATCATACTTTACAGTTAAAAAAAAAATACTAAATTAGATGTTATGAGAGCTGTAAAAAAATAATTGTAATCAAATAACAATAAAAACTGAACTCACCGCTAGTCTGACTGGGCTGTTTCTCTATCGACTCTGAGCGCTCAGTGCTGCGCCGTAGTCCGCTGGGCCCGCTCTTGCCGCCCGCCAATTCCTGCGCACACGCATCGTACACGATCAGTGGGGGGAACGACAAGCGGACGAGCGCCACGGGATGCGACATATTATTATTAACTTGTACATAACTATATAATGCACATAATAAACGATTTTTTTACATTACACCTGGTAATTTCAAATATAAAATAGAAAATGACGTTTCAGGGTTTAAAAAGCATTTATCTGGCCGAATATATATTTTTGAAACTGTATATAAATCATAAATTTTTAAAATACCTTTTCAATATTTCTATGAATAAGAAATTTTAATTTAAAATAATGTAAATTGAAATAATAAATAAAATAGTTGTCTATGAATTGACGGTCCAATGGCGGAAATGGCGACCGCAGTCTGTAGTCATGAACGGTACCACGACACCTTGAATTTTATAGCAATGCTCATGGCATTATTCGTGTGTTGAATGGCACCGTGAAAAGTTGGGATTTTTATGTATGTAAAATTAACAATTATATGTCGCATCTAGAAAAATAAATTTATTGACGTAAAATTATGATATTTACTATAAAATACATAGTTCAATACTATATTAGGGCTAAGGGGAGGACAATAAAAATCCAAAATCTAACAAAAGTATTTCTTAACTGAACATCTTTCAAAGAACACAGGTGTATTGAAGAATATTTCAAACAGTTGCGTGGTGATACGATCAATTTTATATATGACCTGCACAGACAAGAAGGAGAGGTTTCTATAATTTTACATCAACGTTATTATACTCATACTATGACACGTTTGTACGAGGAATATTCAATTTAACTACTAGTAGGTAACGTGCAGTGTGATTGTGGACGTATATGGACAAAGTAGAATATAACAGTGTTGCCAGCACATAAAAACATAGGCATTATGATGACACTTTTTTATTATCTATGATTCAAATTATTTAAATTGAAAGAACAGCTGACTAATGTAAATATCGCGTAATCAATCAAATCATGAAATTAATCAATGTAGGTATTATTGATCTTATTTCTCTTTTGTATTGACAATGGCTTGTTTCTTTGTATATTTGTAAATATATATTCAATTAAAATGAATATAGGCGAAAAAGTCGAAATAATAATGTATTCCTTAAATCCATTACAATGACATCCCTCGTACAACGTACATATTTCGTGCAAAATCAAAACATAATAGGGATTAGAAATCATGCCACATTTATAACATAAAGAAAATCCACACTGAGCGACTACGGGGCGACACGTTTGTGTCGCGACATCTCGCTCTGTAAGACAAATACTTACCAAACACTGTGAATCTCCAAGATGCTGGACGAAGGGTAATCAAATCTAGATAACTTACAAATATTGGACAAATTTAACTTAACAAAACAAAAAAAGAAACACTCCAACTGTAGCTACCAGCTTAAAAAATGTCAAACATAATGTACAATTTGCTAAATTGAAAAAGATCGATTTGAGAATATGGACAATGGTGTTTTACGACACATTGCATTTGTGATAGTATAACTGTTTTTTGTATTCTTCTACAGGCCCACGGAATTTTTCAGCGTTTTGAATGTACGAAGTATTGTTCTATGCTATGAAAGGGCACGTAGATAAATGAACGTTAGTAGACAAGTGCACTACATTTTAGTATCGAGGCAAACAATCGAGAGATCCAAATGCAACACACGTGTCGCCCGTACCATCCGCGCGAGCGTCACCGCGGCGAGTTCGACCGCAAAGCGACTGTGCTCACGGCCGGCGATGACCACGCGACGTGACACACGCTTGGTGGCCGACAGACGAGCGATCGATTGTCGCGGAGTGTGAGCACGCACTAATGTGGACAGACATATTGTTTTTGTGATTCCGTTCCATTTCAATTATTATTTTTTTACAATATATATAAATTTTTTTATGACGAAGTTTTTATAATAAATTTCGAGAATTTGTTTAAAAATTTCTTTTCTATTATTATTATTTAATAAATTAATAGTTAATATTAATATATATTAACCTGATACGTATTCACGCCATAAGTCCGGCCCAGCAGGCGCGGCTGCGAGGGCCGGGCCGGGGGCTCGCGGGGCCGGGGCTCGAAACACCGCCGGCATCCACACCTCATGCCGCAGCGCCGCTAGGAGGCTTGTCGTCACACATGCTAATATCACCAGCACTTCGTAGTACGTTAGCATATAAATAGGGGGGATATTGCCTTAAGGGATTAAAGAACCTGAGATAAAGTTCGAAGGACAATACAGTTATAAGTGACACTGACAAGAGATTGAAAACCAATTAGGTAGACGCTATGGGAGACTGAAGAATGTTGCAACGAATTGGCAGTGCTTGAAAAGGACGTTCCGGCGTAATAGAAGACAGACTGGTGCAAGGATTCTGTTTGTTGTATCACAACTTATAATAAATAAGATTTCTAGATAAATGTAGATTTATGTTTCAATGAAGAACTTTTCAGTTTTGTAATTTTGTATATTTTATTTTCAGGTATGTGATAGGTAATCTATTATTGATGGAATATGACTAAAAAACTGTTTATGAAGGCATAAATAAATGGAAATGTCACTATAGGAATTTATAATTCAGTTAGGCATTACTGATGAAAGTCAAGTAGGCAAAATATTAGAAGATAATTAATTAGAATTCAGTTTGAATTGTCAATGGCTGCCTAATTAACACAAAGTCTTGAATCGCACTTCTGTTGACAATGTTTTTATGGACAACACAATATTTTGAACGGTCAATGTTTACATTTCCGATTGAAGAGTTTCGGTTTCAAAACAATAAAGTCACAGTTTCAATTTTTAAAAGTCATTTATAATAAGACATAATTATTGTTCATTTATAGTTCACTTTCTTTGATTGTAGCACAACCGAAGGACAGTTTATAATTCACTTCATCAAGGTCACTTAATATTTCGAACTGGCAACACTGATATTTGCACTTTTTTCCTATTAAAAAAGCTGGTTGTTTCAAAAATTCAACTGTCAAATTTGACAGTTATGGCGGGAGAAAGCGCAAAATGGCGGGGAAAATCATTTCGCGCGCGCCTGACGTCACGAAGTAGACATTGCGAAGGTGCAGCGCACACTGGCAGTGCGTTACTGGCGCCGGTTTGCAATGCCAAAGGGTAGTTAGTGCCAAATTGCACAATGGACTCGCTATAGTTATGATATATGTGATAGTAAATGACCCAATTAATAAGGGTCAAAGGCAAACACGTGGGGCCTGTTGACATTCAATGAACAATGAAAAGCAAAATACGGATGAGATTAAGTAAAATTAGTTTTTATTCCCTTAAACTTAGAAATAGCAAGTTATTTAAAATTTGTTGAGTTGATCGAAATTTTACAGATCGATCTCTCCGTATCGGCATAATAATTACAATTGCGTGCATTAGTATTAATTGTCATTTTTGGCGAAATAAACAACATAAAATCAATAATGGTCAGTTCACTGACGCAAGAAAGTGGTCGTACTGTGTTTGGCATACATTATCGAAGATACACTGAAGTGTATTTTAAAGAATTAAAGATAAACAATGTTACGAAATAATTTTCTATTTCCATTTTTTTTTTAATATACACATACTTTATTTCAATGTTTAAGTTGTGAACCACGGTATTCGTGGGGTTTTCATGGCCATGTGCAGTGACCAATGACGAATAAGTAGTAATTGAATTGACTGTTAGCAGCTGTCATATTTCCCTTGCAAAGTAGTAATTTTTATAACCATTTTTAACAACAGTAATCTAACTCAAGTTGCTATATAAAGATATAAATGAACAATTTAATTGTATTTTTAATAATGGAACTTACCGTATTAGAATTTTGAATAGTTTTTCCAAGCGCCATTTTTTGTCTCGATTATTAAGCAATTGAAGCCGAGAATTGTTCAAATTTAAATCACTAAGTTGGTTTCAAGTCATCAGGAACATACGAGTTCAACTATCGAGCTATGCGAAAGTCTTATAAAAACGATCACTAGTTTTCGAAACGGCAAATTTAACACGATCACGGAAAGCGTGGAAGGATGTTAAAAGAGGGTAGACAGATCTGTTTATTCTTGACATCTTCAAATAGTCGATGTCTTTTAGTACCGTGGCAAATTTCGGAAAATATTGGTAAGTTCCCTTATTGAAAAAGACCAGTAAAATCAAACATTTTTAATTTAACACTAGCACTTTCAAAAACATTTTTAAAGAATTAATTACTATAGAAGGAACATTTTTAATACCAAATATACATGTAGCACTTTCTACAATATATCATCAACTGCTACACGTAATAGCTCGATATATCTCAAGCCTGATAATCAATAATTCTTATCATTTTTTTTGTGATATAAATATCGTCATTTATACTAGTATGTACCTAAACATGACATAACAGAGAAAAAAGATGTCTAATTATTATTCTTTCATGATTTTTAATATCAGTGTTTTCAATCATCCCAAAATGAATATGAAACCAATACAATCAGAATTGGTTCAGGATTATTTATTGCGTAACATACACACAGAAAATTTATATTGGCAAATTGAGAACCTCTTCTCAAAGTGAGGGCTTAAAAATGCCGCTAAGACACGAGGGGATTTTAGGTTAAACTTGATTAAACTAACCACCGTGTTTGCACCGTTGCATACCAGTGTGGCTGAACCATTATCTAGCCACAAAATATGTAAAAATATCGTTAACCTCAAAACACAACCAGCTTTTTTTTTTTCACAAATCATAAAATTCACGCAAATAAAAGTCTGTATTATAAAAAAAAACCTATTCAAAACGGCAAAATACTTTCGAAAACATTTGACAGAAAAATTTGACAGTTGTCAATTGGAACGTGTGCAAATGTCAACGTTTTCAAGCGGCCAGAGTTCGACTATAGGCGAAGTGCTTTAAAAGTTGGCGGGAAACGGAGAGTTCACCCTATCTATTAATATTATAAATTTATTATGTTTTTTACCAATATTTCGAACACAGTTTCCGTTGCACTTGTAGCGCGCGAGATAATTTGACTTACGAGCTTGATGGAACCAAAGATGGCGACGATAATTACGAAAAAAAAAATTCGCACGTGGTAGAAAAATGTGCTCTATAGGTCGCCAAGAGACGTTATCCCGCGTTATTTTATTTCCAGACGTAACATTTAGTGCGAGTATTTTTAGTTCTACTCTGACGAAAAGAGGACGCATGGCGCGTATTGTCTCTGAAATCTAGTGAATGTGTGGCATGGTATGTCATCTATCGTTTTCTTAAAGTAGACGAAGCAGGGCTGGCGGCGAAAGTCTGCCCATAACCATAAAACACGATGGATTTCGTCTGTAGTACTTATCATAGGTTTTGTCGTCAAGCGAGATAGAGCTTCCTAGCGTAGGTACCAAGGCAACAAGATTGTATTGTGATGTGGTTATGACATTATATACTATTTGAGGTACTAAGGTTGTTCGGATGACGTAGTTCTCGATTTCTTTTACTGTTATAAACGCAATAAGAAATATTTTTTGGTCCATTAAATTACGATTTTAATTCGTACTTGTCTTCAACCGCTGGGTGATATTTCTAATATAGGAAAAAAAAAAAAATGTTACCAGCGCTACTGGGTTGATGGGCGATAGATCACTGATGTTCCATGAAGGACGATCTATTGACGATATCCAATCTAAAATTATCTGTGACTGGAGACCCATTTTTTTATTTTTATGTATATTAATATCTCCGTGTTACGATGCCATATTCAGGTCCATGCGAAATGAAAATTTTCGGAAATGATTGATATAGATGGAGATATTATTGTCCGCCCAAAAACCATTAGTGTTAGGGCTGAGTTTTTTAAACTAGTGGGAATTGCAAAACGAGCTGGCGGCCTATTTTCGACTAAAGACATGATGAATAACACCATTAAATAGGTCTTTTTTAAATATCACATTTAGCAGGCGAGAGACGTTAGACTAGGTTTTAATTATATTCTTCAAATACGAAAATATTAAAGTCCTGTTTTAATGATAGTAATTTTTCTTTCAAAAAAATTAAAACGAGGAGAAGCCATAAGATTTCATCAGCGTCAACTGGGTTTCTTCTGTTACAGTGGAGATTTCTAAAGACTATTTAGAGGATTTGAAAATTTTAAATTTGGTCTTAATGGTTTAGATGATTAGATAGTAAACTGTTTTTTTTTTCTTTTATTATAGATTGCATTCTAACATGTACAATCATAATGATAGTGGATAGGCTCCAATGATGCCTCGAAATGGATCTGCAGAATCTTCTATGCGAGTTCAACAGTAGATACAACGACCTACACCTATGACGAAGCACACTGGTGCGTAACACACACAAATAAACGACCTACTTCTTATATGTCAACGAACCCGTGCTTTATATAGTTCTGGGATTCAGAACTAATCTATAATTGAAACTGCCTAACTGATAACGTGTCCAGTAGTTGATAGTTTTTGCAAAAAATAAGATTTTAGGTTCGGACAGTAAGATTTTAAAGGGTTTTTATACAGTAAAGTTTCTTATATTTATGGCAATCCAAAATAAACTGACGGTTTTCCTAATGGACAAGTGGTAATCGTCATAAAAATAGCATTAAAGAGATCTATAGACATGCAGACGACACTATGGGTATGAAAGAATGCCTTAAAATATGTCTTTGTCGGCTATGGAACTTCTCAAAATTGATTTATCAAAACTACTAGGTGAAATTTTGCACATAGCTTTTACGTGATTTAGACATTCATCTAAATGATTTTTTAGGAATAATCATTTTATCAGAAGGCATCTGATGCCGTGGCAAATCTTTTTGAATTATTAATATCATTAGGTCTTCTTAGAGCTCCATCGACAAGAGCGCAGCTCTTAAATAAGTTAGACAGATTAGGTGTTCTAACTTTTTGCGAGTTGAAGACTATCTCTATTCTAAAATTCGGAATCAATGACGCACTGGGGAATTAAATTTAAGTATTACAATGGACTTCGTAAGGTCAACGGACCGATTTTTTTAAATATTTATACAGAGCTTCGACGTCCAGACGGTGCGTTACATAGACAAAATATCTTACGTATTTTACAAGCTTTTATTTCAAATTCACTCGTTTGTTACGTTTGGAGCAAATCTTTAAAATTTAATTGTTATTGATAACATTGATGGTAAATATAATATCATTTCAATATAATGTTTAAGAGCAGATTTAATATACGATTGAGAGGATGGCTGCAAGATTTATGTTGTATAAAACTAGATTGTTTATATTAAATATAAATAATTGATATAAACAACAAACTGAACAGCGAAATTACTGTTCAGAAATATTCAGTCAAAATTGTTTTACAATCAGTTCTCGTCCTAACGTTAGTTTTGCTTAACGATCAAATTTAAATTTTAGGAAATGACCATGGCACCACAACATTGATCTCAGAGTAAACAAAGTGATAAATCGGATTGACACCTTTGTCGACTCTCTTTAATGTTCATAAAGAACAAGTTGATTGATAAAATCAAATTTAAATTCACATTCAAAATGACGATGTGTAGAGAGAAAATGTTCAATGCGGTCGACTAAGTTGGGCCACCACCATGCCTCCGTGATATGTAGATATCTTACATTTTAAGCGTTTGTTTCATTATTTGCTCGTAGGTGTAATATAAAACTGTTATATATCACTCGGGAGAAATTATGATTTGAGGTCCTTGCTTCTGATTGAGAAATGTCAACGATTAATTACAGTGATATTAGATCTGTGTTCTAAATTTTTACATTGCTGTTTTTTCAATAGTCATAATAAGATTTCGAAGATTGATTGACTATTGGCATATATGGGCATTATATTACGTTTGCAGAAATGTTCTCCACAATTAGTCACAAATATTTATTTACAAGTTCTATGAATATAATAGGTTTACTAAATAAAGATCTCTGACTAAAAACACCTAACACCTACCTAACACATTTGTTTGCAATGTCGATTAATATGTTTAAAAATAAACATAGAGATGTCATTTTAAATGATTCACTCGCTGTATATTCAACGTAAGGGATGAGTGAGCAATATGTATTCTCAGATCGTCTTTTCAAATGGAAGAATTACTAGTAATTAGCTACTAAATGAGAAATATTAAATAAGCCATTTGTGAAAATTCGAATACGAGGGCAGTCTAGAAACTTGACAACACAGGGCACCGTCTTCACATGATCCATTAGAATCAGACAAGCAGCGGTGTCCACAATTTACAGAAAATAACAATATGTATATAGTTAAGACTATTAAAATCTAGACTATCTACAGAGTTAAATATAAGAATTATTCAATAAAAACACCATTCAATTAAAAACAAATGAGGATCCTAGACGTTAACTAAACAGTACAAATGAGAAAATGTGTTCAATGAAGACAATCAGACATTACTATTAGAAAAAAAAAAAAAATCAAATTAATGTGCATTCAAAAAAGAGCCAAAATTTATGTCTTTGAGTATTGCTAGAATTTTCAATAACTAGTTCTGAAAGTTTTAAAATTTTACTGTAATTGAAAATTCTGCAATAAACAATTAAAAATGTCTAAATGATTACTCACCGCTTTTATGTCGTCGTAATCTTTGTTGTCCAAGACTCGTCTTCTAGAAGATGGAGTGTCGGGACTTGAATCTTCTGTCGGCTCACTAAAAGTACTTTCAGTACTTGTCTCCATAGACTTCACTCCGTCTTCAATTTGTGTCTTATCTTCTCCGTTTTCTTTCTCAGTACGTTTCTTAAGGAAATTTTCATGTTCGAATGTTTTGTTTTCGAATCCAGTCCCGCTAGGAGATTCAATGTCATTATCGAGCACTAATTGATCATCTTGCTCTGAATCGATATATTTAAGTTTAACTTTAGATTTCCTAAGCTCTGCAGGTTGCACGTCATTCTTCGACAGTTCTTCATTAATAATATTGTTAATTTCAATCTGCTTCGAAGTTTTCGGCGTCGAAGTACCAGTTGCTATTGGTTGAGAAATCTGTATGTAAGAAGCAAAGTTAGATGTGTGTTTTGGCGTCTTTACCTGTTTCTCGATATCATTTTTCAGAGATTCTTTAGTTTTTGGAGTATTTAAATCTGTACCATTTTTTTTCTTTCTTTCAGTGTGATCTACATCGCCATTTTCAACTTGTATTACGGTGGACTTTTCCAAAATTTTCCCTATCGGATTATTTGGATCCAGTTGGCTTTTAATACTGGCTAAACGATCTGGAGGTAGTTTTGTCGTTAATGATGTTGACATAGAATTATTTTTTTCAACTAATGGCTTAGCTAATGACACAGGTTCGGATATAGTCTTGCTCATAGACAGATCTGAGTTGGAATTCGACCTAGAGCTAGAAGACCCCACTTCCCATCTGTTTACTCCATTTTTATCAACGTAAGGCAAATGTACAGGTACCGGCTTTTCATCTTTCGGTAATTTCGTGTAACCGGCCGATCCGTTCTCGCAATCTTTCAACTTATTCAAATATTGTTCAACCGATGCTTTGTTTGTATACCTAGTGTCATTTGCTGGCAATTTCGTTACAGTCATTTTACTATCGTATATCTTTCTAATATCGGATACAGAAGGCACATCGTTGCCGTTGCTGTCTTTGACTCCATTAGTCATAGAGTTCCTTTTACTGTAACTGGAAGATGGCGAGCTTTCCTTAATTGATCTTCTGCCTTCCGGTTTCTGGTGTTGTTGAAAACGAATGCTTATTTTTTTATGATATCAATAATGAACCAAATTGCGGCCTGTGATTGTGTGTGTTAGTTTAGTGGCGTTTACAATTATATATGCAGCATCTACTACTTCCACGTACAAAATAATAGGAAAACGTTGATGCTACATAGATTGTACCGCGTCTATGTAACTAATGCATTACATCATTTGAAAGGCAGCTCTTATGGAGTCAATGTTGTTATTTAAAAGAGGGTCTGCCTCCCAAGCGATGATACTATATTTTAAAGCTGAAAACGACCGATGGCTCTTTCTTAGTGCGATGTTAATGTATTTACACACACACGCACACGCACACAATATTGCGTGCCTGCGAAATTTGTAACATCAAACAATAATCAACTAGATGGTATAGGTCTAGCTTTTGGGATGATATTTGTACAATCTTGAATTAGTGCAATTGTATTCACTACGTTCTTAAAAAATGCAAGGGTAAAGATGGAAAAATGTGGATGAGAGCCGGTTTTAGTATTTATTTCCATGATAGTTTCGACAAAGATTGGCGAAAAAATTGGTTAAAATTGATTTTTACGGTTTACTGTCCTCCATAAATACAATAGATACAAAAAGAAAAAGAACTATTGAAACTTTGTGATGAACATTAAATAATAAATTTAATCAATCTACTTATCGTAAAAGAGGTCGCGGTGAAGTTGCAAATATACCATTAGCAAAGTCAAAAATACAAAACTTAAATACTTCGTAAGTGAAAATCAAAATATTTCTTTAAATACAAATTTGAGACCCGTTATTCGTCTAGCAGATACGGCCCACTGACCCTGTTCTGCAGATAATGTTATTGTACTCTATAAATAGAATTTCGGCAATAAAGACTAGGTATTCAGCCTTTTCAAGGTCAATAACGTTCCGGTTTGGAGATTACTGTAGATTTGGACTAAGCATCCTGTTTGAATTTAAGTTTTGTCAGATTTGTATTGTAATTCAAGAGGTTTTTAATTGAGAGATTCAACTGTTCTATAGCAAGTTTTGAGTCTCCGTGGCCTGATATTTAATTCTACAATTACAAAAACTGTACTAGCTATTGTATTACTGTTATAATTATTAAAAAATAATTAGAAATAATGGCAGATGACGACGTTGCCAATCACGGGAAGCGTTTCTTAAAAACGAGTATTGAAATCTAAACAACATCCCACAGGTGGACATGGTTATTTTTTCAAAATAATATATAGTAACTTAATAATACGATCATAGAACAGCGTAAGATTTTGTTTTGCTAATAAAAATGGAATTTCTATCGTGACAAATACAGGACCAAAATTAGCAGTAAGCTGATTGATTGCAAAGAATATTACTAAAAATCTTTGACTTCCAGTCACTTTAAAACATGTTACGACTGATTTCTACATTACTCTTTGAGTGACAGACTCGCCGTAGTATTAAAATCAAAAGTTTTAGTTCCCAGAAGAACAAATCATTTAAATATACTAGATTGAGGAATTTAACTTCCGCTACATTTCAATACGATGGTATTCGAACCCGAATCTTTCAGTTATTTTGGACAGATTTTATTAATTTTTGATATTTTAAATTACACTACAAAACACTATCAACTCAACAACAGGTGTACACTTAACCAATTTTGAATTTTCTTAAATATATAATTGGTGGTATCTACTGTATTAAGATTCCTAAATACAGGTATTTAAGAAATACTTTGTCATCGGATAGACCAAATTTTTCAAACTAGGTTCCAGGTTAAGATCATAATTATTGTTGTTTTTTGATAATTTTTTATAGTATAGATCTCTGTAAAATTAACTGCACTAATTAGTGTTATCTCAACGTGACTAATGTTAGGGATTCCAAATTGATTGATGTAATGGGTCAACACAAGATGTCGTTTAATGAGGTAATATCACTTTTATGGCAATGCTTTTAGAGGATACACTTAATGTGATTAATATTCGAGCGTAAGTCAACGTTTTCAGAAAATAAAAAAAAAAGTTTATCTAATTCTAAAAAAAAAAAACTCTAAACTAATATTCCAAGTTATTGCACTGAACAAAGTTCAAAAACTGAGGCCCAATTCAGTTTTATACATAAACGTTAGTGAACACTAATGATTTCGCAGACACCCAAGTGAGAAGATACTATATGGAAAAATACAAGACAGACGTTTTATATTTACCTCGGTAATAGTCGCAGCCGAATTGCGCGCCCTCCTGGACCTGGACGGGTCGGCCGCTGGTGGTCTGCCGATGTCATTAGATATTGATTTAGACCTAGCTATCTCCCCGCTGTTGTTTTGCTGCTGTTCCTTGATTCGTTGCGTTAACGGCACGTAATTTGCTGGGGAATACTTATTGTATAACTCAGCCGTGGACATGGCCAGAGCGGCTGTGCTTATCACATTTCTCTTGTTTCTCGGTTCAGTAGACGTCTTGCTACTCTCGCTTCTCGTGGTCGATATATCTCTGGATCTGCTTTCGCTTCTTTCAGATCGATATCGAGTCGAGATTCCACTGTCGGAATCGGTGATACTCGGCGCGCGGGATGTTCTCGAATATTCCACTAGCGACGTTTTTCTCTCCCTTTTCCCATCGACGTCCGAGTATCTTGATCTGTACTCTGTTGTTCTGTCTCCATATGAGTTTCTAAGTGTTGACGTAACATAAGTGCCGCTGCTGCTTCTGTAATATGGTTTCTCTAAGCTTGACGACGAGGTCAACGTGGAGCGGTAGGAGCCAGATAGGCTCGAAGAGGTGGAGGTATACCTCGAGGGAGACACGACAGGCATTGTGATTGATATATTTTTTACTAAATAATAATTATCCTATGCGCTGTATCACATAGCTCGCTTAGGTTATATACAACTTATCTACATATATGTAACTTTTTTAATTCTGGACGGCGGCCGCTTTCTTTGCATTTTTTTTATTTTAACTATACCTGTAACAAAGATGGACATAATTAATACCGAGTGTTTTTATGTTGTTAGGAAGGATATGGAGAATAGGCCATGACTGAGAAGCAAGATCAATTATATATTATAGATGTGCATTTTTTTATTGTGATTGCACTTACTACAGACTGAAACTAAAAATACCTACGTATTGGCGATTCACAGTAGAAAAGTATAATGCTCAGGCTCTCTAGACAAGTGGCAAGCGAATCCGTCAATGGAATAGACATCGCTAGCGAGTCTGTGAGTTGCAATAAGTCATCTGGCGTTGCTATCCCATTGTATCACACGGGCTCGTTAGCGATGTCGATTCCATTGCCGAATTCGCTTGCCACTTGTCTCCTAATTCTCTACCAGGCTGCCTAAATGAGTAGCAAAGAAATCTATCGATCTTATCTTTTATTTGCAAATGAGATCAGCTAAGCCGTTTCACGTCGACCCATTGGGATCTTTTGTTTTTGCTGCCTTATACTATATCATTTAGATCTTGTGTTACTCCGCGATATCCCGCGGTTCAAGATATATATAGTCCCTTGGATCTGGATAAGCCGTTCCCAGTAGACTCATACTTACTAATGAACATCAGGTTCTCTAGACAAGTGGCAAGCGAATCTGTCGATGGAATCGACATCGCTAGCGAGTCCGTGAGATAGAAGTCTCATTCCAAATCACGGACTCGCTAGCGATGTCGATTCCATCGATGAATTTGATTGCCACTTGTTTAGAGGGTCAGGTGGTCCATAGATTCTGATTCCTCACCGCACAATCTGCAATGTGTCCGAGGATAGACCCATCTTGTATAGTTTATACTTTACTGGCATATGACCAGTTAAAGAACACACATTATATGTATATCGATAGGTAAGTTGAGATACATGCACGTGGTTGTATCACGTGCATGAGATACAAGACAGCATTGTTCGGATTTTCGTTATTTCCCAAGTATATGATAAAAAAGAATACCCATAACTACGTTAAAGGCAGGTTCACTAGTGGTCCGTCAGATAATATATTGTTAACCGCAGGTGATGTAAAAATTGCATTACTGTCAATTAAAAAAAAATGCAATCAGGCTGGTCCATTAGGTACAAATCGTGTTGTGCAAGGCTTAGTGTTGAACAGGTCACAGCAGTTTATTTTGTTCTACAATTTACTACCGATAAACGGCGTAACTCCAGGGGGACGGCCTGTGTACAATTGAACTGACCACCTTTTGGCTAGGTATCTATAGTGATACGCAAGCGAGTGTTCCATATTTACCAATATAATTTACAATATATTATATCAATTAAAAAAAAATGATATTTATGATAAAATATGAATTTAAAAACTATAAAACGAACGCATCGCTGCCACCGTGTAGTGATACGCAAGCGAATTGGTTAAACACTAATTTATTCATTGAAAGAATAAATAGAACAAATTGTTACGTACTGGCCACTAATAATTACAAAATTATTAGTGGCCAGTACGTGAACATAATATTCTACAGTTACTTACAGGGTAGACAGAAGCAAATTAATTTCAAATGCCTCTGATTTTGAACACAACACTAACTTTATTCACTTTTATAACTCGTCACGTGCATGCACTCAGTTCCGGAGACGTATTTAACTTCTAAATAACCACAAAACTAGTTTTTGTTTCTTCTTATTATAATACGACATGTGAATGTGACGAAAACAGAATGTTCTATTCTAAACCATTTATGATTTAGGTCTATTCATTTTTTTTTAAAATCTTATCACGTTTAGGAAACTAGGCTATTTTGTTTATGATTCTAGCACCTACCAATGTGCAGGGCAACTCAATATAATCCGTAACTGTTAGGTTTTAAGAGCTCACAATACCCCCCCCCCCCCTCCCCGTGACCACTGATAATCACTGTAGAACCTACTATAATCGTATTACTGTCGTATAAAAAAAGCATCAATTAATACTACGTGCCCCAAATAAACATAAAATAATCTATTGTACATGGTGTATAAAAGTGTGTGGCAAACAATTATGTAATTATTCATTAAAATTTATTACCATTATTGTTTATATAAAAAATATCCTTATATGTAAAAATTGTATGTCATGATGTTCATTCAAATATAATCTCCAAAAATCGGGGGGTAGGGATTGTTAGTAATGGGGTCTAATGAACCCATTGCTAGTAGTATATCCTATCAGGTCGACTTCCACGCGGTTCCCCTGGAAACCATCGTGGTTAATTCTAGTGGAATTTGTCACGATGGGCTAACTGACCTGCTTTCATCCTCACCTATCATCCCTCACTGGTGCCTCGCCAGTGTATACCGATAGCGCAGGCGGGGTTATTCATTTCATTATCACTCATTAAAAAAAAAATCTCCAAAATCAACTGATTTTAAGAAAATTTTGTAAATGTGTATTGTTTGTTCCAACTTGAGATAGGATAGTTGTTATCCTGATACAAAAAAAAAGACCCAGTGGATGGCAAAACAATGTTTGCTAGTAGGCATATAAAACATGTATTAGAGACAGCATTAGAAGAAGGCCAAGAAAAAAACTATGGATGTCTTATCACTAAAGAGCAATCTCTTTCAGGTAGCCTTTGCACTGTTACCCAAGTATCAAGTATGTTATATACTTTATCGTTACTATAAATCCACAACTCAATTTTACAACATTGAGATAAAAGAGGTACACTAACTTTTTTCTAATTTTTGTTGCATTTCTAAATAATTGTATGGTCGGTTTTTATAAAATTATCTACTTGTTATTAATTACAATAAACAAATAATAAAAATACAACAAATCATGATTATGTAAGACAGAATTATTAAATTTTTCATCTATGCTGACACTATGGCCTTGAAATTTGGCTACAAATCTCACATACTATACCAGTAATACAAAGATTAGAAAAAAAAGTTGAATAAACTAAGAACTGTTCATTATTATATCGTACCATATTCATATCTATGGTGCACCATAGACAAAAAATACACTGTTATACATATGCACTGTCATTCCTGAGGATTTAAGATGTAATATTCCCATATTGTATTTTACTACCATGGAGGCATATCTTAGTCCTTAGGAACGGTAACACATGAGGGGCATCATGGGTATAATAGTGCAATCTGTTATGTAGATTTTAACCACTTTCTATCACTTGGGCTATTAGCTTGTTTGTCATACTAAGTGTCATAAGAAAAAACTAAATGTCCATGTGAAGACATAAAAAATAGTTTAAGGAAAAAATTATCCAGTGTCACGGACAGTATTATCTCTATTACACCCTGTACATACAAATTACTATGTTACTATCGCTATATCTACAACTGTTACGATAATTTGACTAAGATAATGCATAATCTAGATAAACATTAGCTTTAGTACAAGGTCTTCGAATAAGTTGCTAACTGTAGACTCCGAATACTGTTATACAATAATTTACACTTTATGTAATCTATACAAGTACTTAATATTTATTACATAATGACCAAATATCATTTGCTAATAAATCATGATATCATCATGAAGCCTAGGGTATATATGAATGAATGATTTTGCCATTACGAGTTACATAAAAAAATATTCTTTATTGTTCCCTTCCAAGAATGATACAAATTATAAATAAAGGTTACCTTATAAATCGTTTTAAACAGAGGTTTGTCAAATCACACTAAACAAAACCTACAATTTTTGGCAGTTGCCATAAGAATGGAAAACTACAGTAGTTCTTTTTATCTCAATGGTAAAATCATTATAGGGGTAGACAGAGAAAACCGAGATCACAGCTTCAATTCTAATATACATGTCTTGCATTATTTTTGTAATTAATTTGACAAATTTAAACATTCTCAACTTCCCCCCTAAGAGAACTTATTTTGTCCCTTAAACTGCAACTTGTTACTGGAAATAATTACGAACATGTACCTTCACACAATTATAGTTAGTAAATAAAATATTTGTCATGTTGCACCAGCATAGTTCCTAAATTCACTTACTTCAACATATTTTTTGTTTGAAAGTTAGTTTAAGCATGATGGTTTCAAATTACTACTACTGTTACTAGAAAAATCATGTTTAGAAAATAAAATAAATATATATGTTTACAACTGCGGTCCCTAATGTAATAAACAGAGGTATTTAATAACAATTGCCATTACGGTGAATATAAGATTTGGCATGCACATATTTTACTAAACATATTATACATATATAAGTAATGCAAAAAGAATTCCTACTATTGTAACTGTATTATATGTTTTAAGTATATTTCATCAATGCTCGTTAGTCAACTTTTTAAAAAAATGGAAAGAAATTTAAATTGTTACACTATTTGTTTTTTTTTTAATGTGATAAAAGGTTAATAAATTGTATTTGTTCACATGAAAAGATTTGGGACTTTCTAAGATCTTTGGATGTTTACAACATATGCAAAATCTCAGAAATATCAAAGGATTGCAAAATATCAAGTTTGTACACAACAAGATTCAAGATATGTTACGATTAGTGAGATATTTTATACATAGAGATTAACAATTAACTTACTACATTAATCAGATCATTTCCATACTTATTTAAAAAAATGGGCCATTATACATGATAGGTTAACAAGTAAAACAAGCAATTTATTTAATAATAAATATGAGTATTTGAGTAACACAAAATATGTGTGTAAAGACAATATAAAAACACTTTAGGGTCATTTTGTAGGTAGGTATAGTATAATTTTTATCTAATTATTAACATTATTATCATTGTTGCACTATGGGTGGATGCAGTTCCTTTATATTTATTTCCTAAATAAAAAAAAACTTGTAGGTCTCTAGATGGCATGCAGTTAGGTTCACTAGACAAAAAGTAACTATAAAATAATGTATAGTGAGAAGGCCTTGACTGTGAGAAGGAAATCATTAATTTTTTGACAAATTGACCACATGACTGAGTAGTGGCCCAGTGACAGATGGCGGGGCGGGCGCTTCGCAACTCGAAAACATTGAAAAAACCAGTTCGTGACTTCACAATAAGGCATACAAATCCCACTCAAGGTCAATAGAACCTTGCGGCTTGCGTACTTTATCGAATTAACAATTTTCCATATGCGCAGATAGTAAAAGGCGGCAAAGGAAGCCGTTCTACTTAGTTTATGGTCAAAGAGCGCATACCAATGAATATTGTAACCTGACACTACCAGCACGAGAAAAATTGATTTGGAATATCAAGGCCACACAAAGTACAATGCTTTTTTGTCGCGAGAAAGGCGCAATAACTGCTTTCATACTCACCGGAGATCGCACAGGCCAATTGACGAATTATATCTCCGAAAATATACCAAAGAAGTATTATTTTTAGATCAACATATCATTCGTATCTTCGACATAGGCATTTAGCCTATTAACTGAGTTCATCTTTATGGTATAACATCACGTGGGAGATATCGCTTATTTAATAAATCGATAGTTAACTGCAACTACGACGGAAAATAAAATATACTCACAAAATATTAAAATACTGGTAACCAAGTAACTTCAATATCACAATGATTCACTTCTGGCGTTTCGGTTTTGATATTTCAATTATATTCACACGCGTCGTACACGGATATCGTCACTTTCGTGTGTTAAATAGAAGAAAATGAAGCGTATACGGCAAAATTAAAATTTCTTCTGTCTGTAATTTTAGAAGTCCGTAGCTCCATTGCGTGACGTCACTGAAATTGTTGGCAATCCTATTTTTATGCCACTTCCTTCACAAACGATAGAATGTCTTATTAACATGCAATTTCTGATAAATATACTCTCTCTTGCTTTAAAATAAAGTTTATATTTGAGATTCTGTGAGCTAAATAATAAATCTGTGATTTAATTTAATTTTTGCTGACAGAGTTGCCATTTAGAAAATTTTTGTTCGTTGCTTTTTTTTGCTGCCAGTTTTAAATTTATATTTGTTTAATCTTTATAATATTTATGTACATAATCTGATTATAATAATAAAGGATAAAAAATATTTGATTCTAATAAAAAGAAAATGTATTAAAATGTTGTTATACTCATTGTTTCAAAATTAGACTATTCATGTATAGATGGCATTGTACAGTACAAATTCCCTATGAATACTAGTAAATTCTATTCAATACGAGATGTCGCTACACATTTCCCATTCAATTTAAAATGTTAAAATTACATCTATGGTATCTCTTATATTTATTATACGTGAAAAATATTTTCAGGAGATTCAAAATACTATTTTTTTTAATTCTAATGCTATTATTAGAGTGTAAGACACCTATTATTATTTGATAATTTAAAACTCTAATAATTGGTTTCATAGTAATCTTGTGCCTTCTGCCAAATTAAATTAATAATTTTTGGTGTAGGTATATCCTAAAATTTTAGAAATATTTAATTGTAACATCCAATTAAATAGTTTCACCGTAGAGTTCAACGCACTGCAGTTGTCACATGAAAACAGTTCCAATATGACTTTCGATTATTTTCATGTTTTTTTTATTTTTTTTATACAACTTAGAATGGCAAACAAGCTGACGGCCCACCTGATGGAAAGTGGTAACCGTCGCCTATACACATGAGCAGTACCATGGACATAACAGAGTATACTGTTTCGCCCATGATACCCCCCATGCGTTGCCATTCCTGAGGACTCAGGTGTTATTCCTCTGTACCCAGTAAATTCACGCCATATCCCACCCTTCAAACCGAAACACAGCCATGCAAACACAACTGCTTCACGGTTGAAACACGAATGGGACAGAGGTACCCACGCAATCGACTTTCGTACAAAGTCTCCCTCTGGTAAATTCATGTAATATTAAAGAGAAACTTTTTGGTCCAAATATAACAATTTTTAGCGTATAATTAATAAGTTGTCTTGGCATAATAAAATAGTCGTAATGTAGCGTGATTGGTATTGATCCACATCTTTGGGGGGAAAGGCATTGTTAGTAATGGAGACTGAGAATCCCATTGCTAGCAATATACCCAACCAGGTTGACCTCCTCGCGGTTCCCCCTGGAAACTATCCTGGTTAATTCCTGATGAATTCATCATGATGGGTTAACTGGCCTGTTTTCATTCTTATCTATCACCCTTCACTGGTGCTTCGCCAGCGTATCCCGTTAGCGCAGGCCATACCATACCATTTTCACCCATCAAAAAAAAATAGATCCATATCTTTATTAATTACTATGACCTACTGGTATTAGAGTTCGCACATAAAATGTTTTCGTTTTCATATCATTGATCAGCTTTAATTGTTTTAATACATTAATTTGTAAACATTCCGTACCTACATATGTATATTTATATACGTACGAAATACTTACAAATTAATATATATACATCGAATAAAAGTCCATATTAAAATTTAAAAAATCGACTACCTGGGAAATTTATAGTCTTTTTTTTTTGATGGGTGAAAATGGTATGGTATGGCTTGAGCTAACGGGATACGCTGGCGGAGCACCAGTGAAGGGTGATAGATGAGAATGAAAACAGACCAGTTAGCACATCATGATGAATTCATCAGGAATTAACCATTACAGTTTCCAGGGAGAACCGCAAGGAGGTCGACCTAGTTGGGTATATTGCTAACAATGGGATTCTCAGTTCCATTACTAACAATCCCTTTCCCCCCCCCAAGTGTCCTTGGGACGGTGTTGTTTGTTTGACCAAGAACATCTTCGTAAATTCCCAAGGAATCCATATACAAAATTTTACATCTCTCACTACCTATATTTAAGCAGTAGTGTAGTGAGCTAATTGATTTATTAGGACTAAAGTCGATTTTTTTTTAAGTACGAGTATGTTGTAATTCATATTTTCTCGTTTTTGCGGTAAAGTTGCCAGTTTTTATGTATCTGTATCCGTTTTTTTTTTGTATATTTTTGTTCAGGAATGACTTGCGCGTGTAATCCATTGCAATGAAGTTGTCTATGATTTAAAGTGGCTGTTATTTTTAATATTTTATCTATGGTAGAATCATACAACTGGACTGTGTAGGTATAGTTACAGTTTTAACTATATATTTAATTTTCGTGTTTAAGGTTTTATAACACGTGTAATCTCCAGGAGTGGTAACGAGTGCCATGGTTATTGCGGTATATTATGTGATCACCATGGTGCTGGTCACGTCCACCATATACGACGGCCAATTATTATTATCAACATCATACACTCTCCGGCTTAGCTTTGACAGTAGTTGCCACGTTTGGATGTGCCAAGGTTGGCATGGATTGGCAATTTTAATTTAATCCACTCAATTTCCATTAGGTGAGCCTTTATTCTTTGTAATTCTAAAAAGCATAAAATGATACCCCATTATTTTATATTTTGTTTCACATCTTAAATGGTGAGTCAAGTATAATATAGAGGGGTAAAGAGGTTTCTTCAGGGTCGGCAACGCGCGCGTAATACCTCTGGTATTGCAGGCGTTCATAGGCTACGGTAACCGCTTACCATCAGGTGGGCTGTACGCTTGTTTGCTACCTCAGTGGTATACAAAAAAATATATAGAATAGAAATATTAGAATAATAACGTTCTCAAATAATATTATCAAAATCGCTTTAAAATTATAAGAGATATCACGTAACATAACACATAAAAATAGAGTCGAATTAAGTAGGTATGTACTTTTTTATTTTTAAAATCGCTTAAGTGATAAGTGACGCACTTTATTATATTCACTCCACTAGTTGATAGGTATTTTTGATTCAGATATTGCAAGCAGATACTTACCTTTTGTCTAAGAGCATCTAAACTCTATTGTTATAATGAATTGAAGTTTAGTTTGCTGTTTAAACTCACTATTAATTACTTATATACTGCAGTACAATATTGTTCAAGAATGATCACATATTAAATTCAGAGGGGCTCAGAGTTTTTGCAATAATAATGGATACAGTAGTTGACACTCCGAGTTTGAATTCATTACATTTGATTTTGAAATGTTAGCCTATCGAGTGTTACGATCACCAGAACGGCAAAAATATAATCTAAGACAACAGTCGACAAATACTACTGTCTTCTATGCTTCTAACTACCTTCTCAGATTTTATAATCATAAACACATTTATTTGTTTTAATTTTTCTTTTTTTTTTCTGTAATACATAGCCGTCTATATCCCGGCATAGAATAGATTACCGCTTCCTTGTCTGTGGGTGTCGTAAGAGACGATTAAGGGAGCTTATGATAGAAGTATAGGCAGTAGCGTATCTTTTAAAACACCAGAGGAAGACTTTGTACAAAAGTCGTTTGCTTGGGTACCTCTGTCCCATTTGTGTTTCAACCGTGAAGCAGTTTTGTTTGCATGGCTGTATGTCGGTTTGAAGGATGGGATATGGCGTGAATTTACTGGGTACAGAGGAATAACACCTGAGTCCTCAGGAATGGCAACGCATGGGGTATATCATGGGCAAAACAGTATACTCTATAATGTCCATGGTACTGCTCATGTCTATAGGCGACGGTTATCACTTTCCATCAGGTGGGCCGTCAGCTTGTTTGCCATTCTAAGTTGTATAAAAAAAACCATCAAAAGCCAAACTGCGGTTGCCAACCCTCCTGCCAAGCGTGGCAACTACTGGAAAACTCCCCCTTAAGGGAAGGCCTGTGTTTAGCGGTGGACAGATAACGGATGATATAACAACAACAACTAATGCATACTTGAATTTCTACGGAACTTAGATTCGGGTATCGATAAAAGCTATTGAATAGTATTTTATAAAAAAAAAAGTTTTGAAAAATAAAATGGAACACGTAATCAGTTTTTAAAATACCAGGTGCAATACGGGTTAAAAGGAAGCAACAATAGTCGTTAATGCTACCCTTGCATCACCCTTTGTGTAAAGAGTTCGCGTAAAAATTGCATTTGCTCAAAAAACTTTTTTGGTGTAAAAAAATTAAATTGGCAATATTCCGCGTGGGGTGTTTTTGTAAATGGGGCTATTTTTTTAGGGTTGACATGATTACTCTTTTTAAAAATCTTGTACCTACTAATAAAAAATGTCAAAAGCCAGTATTATTATCAGACGTAGAGCTATAGACCGGCACAAATCATTTGGGAGTTTAGAAAAAAGCTGCGTGCAGCGGGGGACTCGCAAACAATTTGGCGGGAAATGGATATACCCATGGCTGTACAGTGCATTCATCGATTTACTTTTTTTATTAAGTTACTAACGTTTGCTCATTATTTTGTATGCGTAAATTTTAAATGTATGAAAACTTCTACTTTTAAATGATGTATCAAGACAAAACATATACTAGATTTTAAGTTAGACATTCAGGAATATATCTGAGAAAACAGCATCCCATTTGGTATAGGAATTTTTACGTAATGCCGGAACAAACATACGTAGACGAACAAAATTTCTAAAAAATATTGTTTTTTGTATTTAGACTACTCACATCAATTTTTTTTTAAATATTTTTCTTACATATCTTGTCGTGTGGTCCCGGCATAGAATGAACCATCCCTTCCTTTCCCGTAGGTGTCGTATGAGGCACCTAAGGGAATTTAATAGACATGAGATGAGCAGCAGCGTCCCTCTTAAAATATCACCCGATTACCAAACGTGGCAACTACTGGCGGATCCCCACTTTTGGGAGGCCGTGAAGCAGTTGTGTTTGCATGGCTGTGTTTCGGTTTGAAGGGTGGGATATGGCAGTGTATTTACAGGGTACAGAGGAATAACACCTGAGTCCTCAGGAATGGCAACGCGTGGGTGGTATCATGGGTGAAACAGTATACTCTGTTATGTCCATGGTACTGCTCATGTCTATAGGTGACGGTTACCACTTTCCACCAGGTGGGCCGTCAGTTTGTTTGCCATTCTAAGTTGTATAAAAAAAAGCTGATATGATGATGTTCCATGTACAGACAACGTCTAGTAAGTATTTTATTATAATCATATCAGCTTTTAACTGTCCACTGCTGAACATAAGCCTCCCTTTGGGGGGTTTTGTTATATTAGTAAGATATGATAGGTCGGCACCTCACCTACCTTACATACAGTAATGTGACGCGATTATCATTAATGTTTAAGTTACATTTTTTTTTCTATTTTTTATGAAGGTGACAAGTGTGAAAGTATAATATTTACGTATTTTAAAATGCTAATTAGATTTTTTTGATATTTGTTAACACTGTGGTCTGTAGAAGTATATTGATTTTTGACTATGTAAGTCGATTTTTGGATAAACTCAGTCAATTAAAAAATGAGGTATAACTTACCTATTGGCTTTATTCCTAAATTGTTGCCTTATATCACAGCTTGTCTCGTCATGACTCCGAGTTTTTTTTTAATGAATGATAATGGAATGGTAACTCCACCCGCGCTATCGGTATAAACCGGTGGGGCACCAATGAAGGATGATAGGTGAGGATGAAGCAGGCCACTTAGCCCATCGTGACGAACTCAACAAGAATTGTTCACGATAGTTTTCAGGGGAAACCACGTGGAGGTCGACCTAATAAGGCATATTGCTAGCAATGGGGCTGTCAAACTCCATTACTAACGATCCCTTTCCCCCCATGACTCCGAGTTAGGTAAATATATTAAGATCATAGGTATGTAAGCTCGAATCTGGCTTACCTACTTTAAGAACTGTTTATAAATTGACTAACTGTCGGGCGATAAAAAACACTAGCAACAGATAGTCTTAGCTGATTACTATTTGTTTCAAATGTGTACCTAATACCTATCAGTAATGGAGTACATTCAATTTTTTTGACACTTATAGTTGCAAATAAATAAGCTAATAGGAAATGAGAACCGTCACCTACAGACATGAACAGTACCATGGACATAATACAATATGATATATTTTTTTATGTCACGAAGGCGTCAAACAAGCAAACCGATGGTAAACGGTCACTGTAGCCTTTGGACGCTTGTAACACTAGGGGTGTCACGTGCGCGTTGCCGGCCCTGAAGAAACCTAAATATAATCCTTTTTGAAAAACCCCATATGTAGTCTCTAGGGTAAACCGCTGCAGGGAGCTCAATCAAAAGCCTGAGCGTTCGCGGGAGAAATTTGCTTTAGAACTGCGCTATATGTGATCACTTAGGTTCAAGCGTGTGATGATGAACTCCTTGTCGATGGCGAGCGGTGCAATGGTAAAAAGTGGCTGTGAGATGGTCATAACACTTTACATATGTGCTCATAGTTCATTACATAGTACTTGTAGTTATGGGTTCCTGACCGCTATGGTGTTATGTTTTATATATATATTCTTTATTGCACAAAAAACATACAGTAACAACAATAAGTTAATAACAATGTTAGCAAAGGCGAAGTTTAGTGCCTCATAATTTCACTTCCATATTTTATCCTTGAAATCAAACAGCCGTGCAAGCATAGCTTTCTCACGGTACAAATACGAGTGGGACAATGGTGCCACAGGCGAAAAAGGGGGAAAGGGATTGTTAGTAATGGGGTCTAATAGCCCCATTACTGGCAATATACCCTCTCAGATTGACCTCCACGCGGTTCCCCCTGGAAACCATCATGTTTAATTCTTGTCGAATTCATCATGGTGGGCCAACTAACCTGCATTCATTCTCACCTATCATCTTCCACTGGTGCCTCGTCGGTGTATACCAATAGCGCGGGCGGGGTTACCAATCCATTTTCACCCATTAAAAAAAAATGGTGTCACAGGCAGCTTTTGTATAAGGTCTCCCTTTGGTAAATAAAAGACAGTAGGTATATTTGGTAATGTTTTTATTTCAAGTAGAAGTGTATATATACCATTAATTTAATAAAAATATCAAGTAAGTATAATGTCAACCTTCCTTGGGAATGCATTTGTTGGTGGATTCCGCCACCTACGGTACGTAGGAAAGGATTAAGAAATATGTCAAGGAAATTGGTAAATAAGAGGTAGAAGGGACTTGTGGGGGGACACTGCAGTTGCGGAAAGGAATGGGACACTGCAGCGGCTCGGGAGGCCGGGGTCGTATACCCGTATGCCCTTATTCTAGAAACGGACAGATTCCTAGAAAAGGACATCCCTGACGCTATATTATATTATATGTAATTCATAATAAATGATACCTAAAACGTGCAATGAGTGATGACGTAAGTTTTGTTTGTTTGTTTGTTTTCTCTTTATATATTCATAAATGCATGTTTGTGTGACTTTTATCATTATTTACATATCATATATGTGCACTTAAATATATATATATTTAGTTTACAAATTGTACATGCAATGCACGCAAATGCATATTTATAGCATATATTTATTTATCTCTCTGCTTTTTACACGATACGTTCAATATTCTATTAGGAAAAATGTATTTTCTATTTTCTTCTGTCTTCTTTCTTCATTCTGTACTGTAGTACTGCCGCCGGTCAGGAAAGTTAGCAGGCTATACAGTGTCTCCTAAAGGGTGTAATGCAGTACTATACAACCTACTACCTCACCCCACCGACGGCTTGTTCTCTTCTCGTCCCCCCTCCCACCAACTTCCATAACTCCTTCTCTCTTCTTCTTGATAATTATTCGTATTATACATATAATGGAAATATAGATATATAGCTATTAAATTAGGTACTTATTTGTACTAATCAAACAATATTGTATAATAATTTATAGATAATACATATTATAATAACATTCATTCCAAAAAATATACTGTGCCGCAATTTGCACTCCTTGTATACGTTAACATCTTATTAGTAATATTATACTCATCTCTCTCTTTTCATTTAAGAGTTTCCTCTTGTCGGTGCAACTAATTCATGCATCTTCTTCCAGCCAGCTCTATCCCAGGCCATATCCTTGACCTCCCTATACGACATGACACCTAGTGTTTCTTGTATCTGTCCCATATAGTTATTCCTTGGTCTTCCCCTTTCTTTTTTGCCCTCTATTTTTCCTTCTACTATGCCCTTTAAAAAATCGTCATGTCGTATAAGGTGGCCCAGCATTTTGCCACTTCTACTCTCTATTATACTCGTAGTCATTAGAAATTAAATAAGAACAGGATGCAGACAACTGTTTCAGGATTCACATGCAGTGAATCCTGAAACAGTCGCCATACGAGCCCTGTGGCGCAAATATATACTAATAGCGGCGACAATATTTTGTAATCCGAAATACGTTTACATTTTATTAAAGTGAAATTATTTTATTGTTTTTCTTAACTACCAACTACAGGGGCGTAGGTTTGTCTATGCTAGAAGTTTAACATAAAAAATATAATCTCAAAGCTTCGGAGTAAAAAATCATAGATACGCGTTCACACGGAAATCGGAGCTTTTTAATTCTTTTTTTATTAGTATTTCATGCAGCGATCTGAAATTTCTAGCGTTCGTTATTAATTTCAGAAAATTGCATGGATAAATACCTATTGGCTAATATAAGTCCTACGAGAACGAGATTTAGTTTGATATACAAATACAAGTGACATAAAGTATACAATTATTCCACGTCTCGTTGCCTTAAAACAGATACTAAAACTCATAGAATTTACGCATAAATTTTCAAAATTTTTCTTCATAAATTTTTGAAAATAATATGTACGTCGTGTTTTTCTTTTTCTATAAAACATATTTATATATTTGTTTTTTTCAATTATTTAGTGGATTATTATTGTGTAACAAAATGGGTATTGTTGTTTTACAAACGACTTCAAAAAGAAAGGGGTTCTCTCAACTTAGTTGTATTTTATGTTTGTCACCTCATGGACCAATTTGGAAAATTCTTTTTTTATCTAAAAGAATACGCTTATAGATTAGTTCTACAGATATTTTATCAAAATCGGTTCAGTAATTTAATTTTTCAATCGAAATAATTATATTTGCAACAACTGAAGTAGATTTTTTCTCGATTATATTATTATTAACAAAAAAATTTTCCTAATAATCTTATTATAATTACTACATAACATTTGTGAGAAAAAGAAAAAAATATTAACAAATAAATGAATGGTATAAGGAGTTAGACAAAACAATTATAGTAAATTGTAATAAGAAAATATAGGAAATTAATAAAAACAAGGTGTTCACAACAAACAAAGTACCGGGGGCGTTTGATAGGATCGTCCATAATCGAATAATACGTTTTTTTAAATCTTTTTTTTTATTTTTAGAAACCACAATGGAAATAAAAAAATTGCAATTTTCAAGTTCCAGTTTATACTTGTAAATATCTAATTTATCTTTCTGGATCAGATAGACCAAAATGTTTTATTACAGAATAAATCCGAACCGATAAGTTTCATACAAAGTCCTCTCACATAGACGTATATTTGTCTTAGTATGTTTGTATACGGGAAATATTTACAATAGACGTTATTCCGACAAAGTTTGTGAAGAATGTCTATTAATCAGTCATGTAAAACGACTCGCCGGATTTGTATCAATATGGTTACTCAAATACGTCATATTATATGGTTACATTCAATATTCACACGGTATTCTCTACTGTATAGTAAACTAAAATCAAGTAGCTATTTATTTATAAATAAGAAAATTAAATATAAATACTGGTCGAGTCTAAATTATCGTTATTTAACCCATGCATACACTTTTACATTAAATTTAAGTTTCTTTTTAAATTTTTTTATACGACTTAGAATGGCAAACAAGCTGACGGCCCACCTGATGGAAAGTGGTAACCGTCGCCTATACACATGAGCAGTACCATGGACATAACAGAGTATACTGTTTCGCCCATGATACCTTCCATGCGTTGTCATTCCTGAGGACTCAGGTGTTAATCCCCTGTACCCAGTAAATTCACGCCATATCCCACCCTTCAAACCGAAACACAGTCATGCAAACACAACTGCGTCACGGTTGAAACACGAATGGGAAGTAATAGAATACCTTAAAATATGTAGTTTATGCCCACATATTTCTTAAGTGCATTTTTCATTGAAAATTTGTCGATCGTCTTGGTTATACATTGCAATTTTTTCTTGAATAAAAATAAAAATTAATCTTGAGAAATAAATAGATTTTTTTGTCATAAACTGACTTTTAAAAACTATGTATGCATGTGTTATTTAATATAATGTAAATTAAAAATTATTGGAGATATTTGAATATAAATATTAATAGATAGAACGCGAATAGTGTTTCTCCATTAATATATTCTTCATTTTGGGAATTTTTCACTAACAATTTTAAAAACTGAACAAATCTGTGGAATAATGGTTCTGATATACAATATGTTTTAATATACAATTTACTAATAAACAGTGATAATGTTACAAGTTTGTCCGCGTACAAATTAAATAACGATTATGAACGATCCTCGTGGCACACAACACAATAAATTAAAAAAAAAAACAGCACAGAAATAAAACAAAAAAAAAAAAAATCAGAAGAAAATAAACGAAGAATCGTCGAATTCCCGCCAAAACTGCGCCCACGTATCACCAAACTTGTGAGGGGTCGCACGACTGAACTGTCGCACGACACGACAACGACTAATCATCCGATCACGTCTCTATAGTAAAATTTTCCACTTGCAACACTGTAGAAAACGTTTTAAATTCACGACTACAATTAAAGGGACAATTCTTCAAAAATTACATTCCGATATGTTGGCATGGTGCCACTGTGCCGTGATTACGCAGATATATCGGAATATATCTACCTACAAGTGTAATCATTCGTATTGGAGTCAATTCTGAAATGTAAAACTATCTCTAACGTCATAAGTTTAAAGTTGACATTTCAATATCGGTCCCAATATCCGTAGAACTTTTGTATGATTTAAAATTATTAGCTACATCCGAAGTTGACGCCGTTTTCGTGTAACGTTGGATGCGACAAGACACTCAGACTTTTCAGTCGCGTGCGCGATTGTGCGGCAGAATAGTCGCAGGTCGCGACCCCAACGGCAATTGCGCACAAGTTCGGATCTACGGGTTCCAGTTAAGGGGGCCATAATGCTACATCTGGTAAACCTAAAGGCCTAAACCTTTGGATTTACCATTCGCGGAAAAGAGACAGCAACAAAATAAGTAGGATAAATATTTAAAAAAAAAATTATAAATAGGTAGGCATATAAATAATATAACGTAATGTAAAAACCAATTTTGTTCACACTAGTGGCACAGTGATTTAGTAAAAACTTAAAAATTCTCATATGACCTTGGGCAGTTCGCAATTTTTGTCGTTTATTGTCATTTTGAGGAAATTTTCCGTTATATTATTATTTTATATACAAGGTGTAATGATAAAAAATTTACGACAGAATCCGTGAAATTAAATTCACTCGAAATAAGGAATCTTCTCGGCTAAAAAGGTATTTAAATCTTTAGAATAAATAAATATTATTACGATTTTAAATGTTTAAATTTTAGAACATGGAATCATGTGGATTTTACTTCGCAACAAATAGCTGGTGTAATCGCAATAAAAGTAATGTCAGACTATCGTGGGAGCATCAGTTGTAAAAAATTATTAACAAAATTGATTGACAATTGTTAACGATTTGTTTTAAGATATATACGAAAGAGAAAATACTATATATAATAGAGTTTTACAAATTTTTTTCAAAAAATATAGTTTATTCTTGTGTTGATACTATAAAGGTAGAACAAAACAATGTTTGTTGCGAAGTAATATCAACTCGTAGACACACGTGTGTGTTCATTCTAAGTACAGATATTTTCAATATCTACGTAACATCTCTCCGTTCATCACGTATACGTGTCTTAATAAATGAAGTGACTGTCTTTTTGCAGAGCAGAATTTACTTGTTTGGGTTTATTTTGGTTTATAATGAAATTTACTTCTGGGATGGGATGGAAATGGAATGATAACCCCGCCTCCGTTACCAGGTGGTCTACCATGAAACGAAATTCCAAAATTCAGGGCTCAATTTCGTGTTTTTGTTCGTAGCGAAATCGACCCAGTAAATGGAGCTTAACATTTTGTTCATCATAAATTCTATCCTAATAGTCCAGAGGAACGATATTTTAACATTTTTAATAATTTTAAACGGCATGTATTATGTAATTTTAACATCAAATTTCTGTTTCGTTCGTCCCCGAAATTTCGGAAAATACTTGACGGTAGGCCCTCTGGATACGCCGATGAGGTACCAGTGAGTGATAATGAAAGCAGGTCAGTCGGCCTTTTGCGACGTAACCTTCAGGAACTAACCACGATGGTTTCTAAAGGGGACCGCGTGGAGGTCGACCTGACAGCATATTGCTAGCAGTAAAGCTGCTAGTTCTCTTTAGAGACAATCCCTTTCCTTGTTCGGATGTAGGTATATACGAATAGATATGTTTGGAATCATGCTTGTACTCAAAACAGATTTATGGGGTGGCGTTGGACTGTAATAAGGCATATGACGACAGCATGAAATAAAGATGGCGGTCGCAAATAGAAGGTTTTGTGAATTTGTTGCGATCATTTGTTTTTTTACTCAATTGTGAAAGGAAGGAGGGTAATGTTTATATACGTATAGATGACAGATTTAAATAAATGAGGTAAATATTGTTGGGTGTCATCTTCATTGTGGGAGTGAATTTTAGCCATTAATGACAATTGTCAGTACCGACTCTTTTATAAAAGAGTATCTAATAGGAATTTCAGACAAGCTGATAGCTCATCTGATGGGAAGTAATCTTCGCCTATAGACACGAAACCATAAATCTATCTCGGTACAAATACCCATATCCTGACTGAGCAGTACCCCAAAAAGGGTTTCTGTCATTAAATTATTCTATGACTGTAACGGCTTGACTCTTCTCTCTTCAGTTTGTGGTTATTGCCTTTCTCTTGCCCGTCATCTTCCATGTTTGATGGGTGTCTATTTCTCACTTCCACAGCAATGACCTGAAATGCATTAAATTGCCAATTACTTTTACTATACCACGAAGTTAGTCATACAGCGTACCTGATGGTAAACAGTTGCCTCTTATAAACGCTTACAATTATGATAGTAACAATCGTATATTACCCATGTTTCTAATATATTATGCCCTCTAATATTTAATATATAAAAATCTCGTGTCTCGTTTTTCGTTCATGTTAATCTGAAATCTGCCAATTGATTATAATACCAAGAGGGAGAGTTTGTACAAAAGTCGATTGCTTGGATACCTCTGTCGCATTCGTGTTTCAACCGTGAAGCAGTTGTGTTTGCATGGCTGTGTTTCGGTTTGAAGAATGGGATATGGCAGTGAATTTATTGGGTTCAGAGGAATAATACCCGAGTCCTCAGGAACGGCAACGCATGGGGGGTATCATGGGCGAAACAGTATACTCTGTTATGTCCATGCTACTTCTCATGTCTATAGGCGACTTTCCATCAGGTGGGCTGTCAACTTGTTTGCCATTCTAATTTGTATAAAAAAAAGGTTTAGTAGTTGCCACGCTTGGCAGGCGGGTTGGCAAACGCAGTTAGGCTGTGGAGATGTTTTAAGAGGGACGCTGCTGCCCATCCCTCGCCCTCTCTTAGTCGCCTCTTACGACACCCACGGGAAAGGAACGGAGTGGCCCATTCTATGTAGGAACTACACGAGACATCTTTTAACAATACCAAAGTAATGTCTTTATAATATAACTTATTGCATCGTAGACAAGACATTTTTTTTCTTTAACAATCAACCACATCCTGTGTCGTAACAAAAAACATTTAAACGGAACCGTTAACTAATCTCTGTATAGAAATATTTTTTAAGAAATACTTTTTTTTTTTAATCTATCGACAAAAGAACAATGTATGAATGTGACACGTTTAAAAATGGCAAAAGATATTGTAGACATGACATGGGGTGTATAATAAAATTGTAATGGGTTTTGATTCCGTCGCCTGCGCTACCTTGACAGTAACTTTATTTGATAATAGCTATTAATATTGAAATTAGAGAGAAGTGCATATGTGGGTATTTACGATTCATTTAAGTAGCATTTACAGATAAAACTTTATTATGTCTATTCAATAAGATGGTTGCTTGAGAATTTTGTTCGTTTAACATTTTTTTCAAATTATAAATTAAAATTACAATTATTATTATAAACCAATTCTCAAATTACAATACTCATAAAACTAATACAATTTTTTACTATATTTTTTAAAATTTTTAATTGTACCGACGATGATACAGGTTAGTCTTTTTATTGAGAATTTTTATTTACATATCTGTCACGTCTGCCTCCCATTAGGGTAGGCAGAAACAATGGAACGCCAAATGCTTCGATTCAAACAAACCTCTTTCGCTTCTTCCACATTCATCAATCTTTTCATACACGCTCGCCGGTTACGGGTACTTTTAATTTGGCCCTTCTTCAGTACGTTACCTATTTGGTCGACGTACGTCCGTCTAGGTAGGCCCCTACCGATATTTCCATTCATTCTTGCTTCGATAGATCTATTATTATTATTATTTTATTACTTTTTGGTAATGTAACAATTATTTATAGGAAAAAATCTTTATTTGACATCCCATATTAATGAATACTAACACTAGTTTTAAGGAATGGATTACGTTAATTAATATACATACATACGATATACATAAGATATATGTGTGTGTGTGTATGTGTGTGTGGAAAAATCTGAAATTTGAAGGAATATGAAACGCTTTCAACATATCAAACTTCTTGTCATCCTGTCTTCATTCTCATCTATCACCCTTCACTGGTGCTCCGCCAGCGTATCCCATTAGCGCAGGCGGGGTTACCATAACCATTTTCACCCATCAAAAAAATATATATATCGTATTTGTTTGGAAATATTACTGTTGGGAGTTGGGCCATACTTTGGTTGTGCGTTGAAGAAAATGTCTACAAAAGCTCATAATGGAGGACCGCTACTTAATCAGATGGTCCAGATAAAACTTTAGCTTTTTAACATTCATCAGTTGGTATTAATTCGAACAATTCCTCTGAACACTCCCCCTAACATACGCGATAGAAGATGCAAAGGGACGCAGCATCTCTACGCAATGCCAGTAGCACCTATAATTGACTCTTGGACTGTGACAATTGTAGTTTTTTATTCCGATACGTATTTTGTTACTTGTATTTCTCATGTATAAATCAACAAACGCACAGTGTACCTGCCGAGTCTACGCAAACAAGTCTGCGGACGGGAAGTTAGGGTTTAACAAAGCATTTCTTTGTAGATCGTATACTTTTACATCCTTCGTCACCCTTTAAACACCGTAGCACACGAATTTGTAATAAATATTGGGCAATATTAACTTTTATATATCAGCAGCTTGACAAACTATTGTCTTTATACGAATATTTTTTGGCAATAAATGTTTTTTCAACTTTTTTTTATAACTCAATTATTTGTTCTGGATTTTAATATGAAGTATAAGTAAAAAATAATAGTCTTGTTAGCTCGGTTGCAGTTATCCAAAATCAATACAAAATTGTCAAAGTTACGAGCAACGATAGCATAAAAAATTTTAAAAATAAATGATAATTAAAATAAATAAAAAGAAAGTTTAAAAAGGAACCAAAATGAGGGTAAAGAATATCGATTGATAAAGTTATTTAGAAGAGAGACTGTCTCACATAGCGTCATACGCACAAAACCGTTACAAACTTGCTAAAAACTTACATCAATCAATAGAACCAATGACAATGCTTAACTGAATGAAAAAAAAAATAATTATCAGTTTTTTGGCGTAAGGAAAAAATAAAATAAAAAAGTTTCACTGCAAAACTTTTTATAGTAACCCCACGTCCGCCATCTGCCGATGTTCTCACGGCCTGACTGTTACTTTTTGCATTTTTTTTTATCTTTCGCCTTTTTAGTAATTTTCGCGTAAAGACAGCATTTGCACCTGTCAGCTCTTTTACATCTATTACATACTTGGAATTGAATAAAATTTGTTTAACTTATACCATACCTATTTAAAAAAATAAGCTAGTTTTGTCAATAGTCAAAATGAAATTTTGTCTTGCCATTCTAAGTTTCATAAAATAAGTCTATACTTAGTGTTTATCGATAATTATCGATCGTTTGGTTATTAGATTATATTTATTATTAATTTATCGAGCAAGATCCATTCTTGCTTGGAGATGTCGGTAGGGGCCGCCCTAGACGGACGTATGTCGATCAAATAGGCGACGTGCTGAAGAAGGGCCAAATTAAAAGTACCCGTAACCGGCGAGCGTGTATGAAAAGATTGATGAATGTGGAAGAAGCGAAAGAGGTTTGTTTGAATCGAAGCATTTGGCGTTCCATTGTTTCTGCCTACCCTAATGGGAGACAGGCGTGACAGATATGTATGTATGTATGTATTATTAATTGTTGGTTGTACAAGAGTAAATTTTATTTATTTGTTAAAAAATAATTATTTTTATTAGTTATTTTATATGGTTGAGTATATTAGTTTAAAAGATTACATCTTTAATACGTTAAAAATATTCCAATAAAAATATTAACTATTGGTATTACCGTTTCTGTAATCAGTAGCACATAGTTTTGGGGAAAAATGATATTTTCAAATAATAGATATTTTCAAGCCTGAACATTGAATTTAGCGTACGACTGATTCACTTTATGAGATAAAGAAATAAACCGCTATTTTTAGACACAACTTTTGAATGTAAACTAAGAATTATAGAGTATCATTACTACATATAAACATTTAATATTTATATTTGAACCCGCTCGGAATGTCTCTCGAGGAAAGACTTTGCTCGCACTTATAGCTTTTTGAATAGACAGGACGGGGGCGAGAAACATCGAGAAATTTCTCGTCAGTGCTTACATGCGTTATTATAAATCCTCCCTGTGCTTCATGTTGCTAGTTCTAACAGTATGGTAACACACTGAACGCTCCTCGATCAGTAAGTCAGTCTGTTTCTCTTTTTAAAGCAGTATGAATGATGTAACATTGTTTATAAACATTGTGGTGCAAGATGTCGCCGTTGGATGTGAACTCCCGAAGTCTAACACTCAAAAATCGAGTGAACACTAAAAATAGCCAGGTAGAGGGGGTGTCTAGTTGGCGTCTAGACGTGGGGGTGTTGGAGTTGCTGCAAGGGGGCGAGGGGGTGGGGGGCGGCGGTGTCTAGACACAGCTGATCGACCACCCATGTTGCTTAGTGAACTGTCTTCGAGAAATAGTGGGATTCGACTAGGAATTGTGCTCGGAATTCTAGCGTTGATGTTGTTTATTATTATAGAGCCCTTTGGCTCTGCCTACTCAGCGAGGGTTCGGGCGTGAAGATAAATAAACGTTTTTATGTTTTGAAACATACAGACGTTGGATTTTAAGAGACTTCCCGAGAGGTCAGCAACGTCTGTATTGTTAGTTCAAGTTTTATAGCTTCTTTAAATTTCGTAATAGAAATACTCCTGACTACACCATTAGGAATTATAATCAAGAGTATATTGGCAAATTCATATATGTTTTATATTGTAAATTCACTGAGTCCTCAGAATATGTTTCATGTATATTCTGTTATGTGATACTCATGTTTATAGTTACCACTTTCCATCAATTCTAAGTTGAATAAAAAAAAAATGTTTTGTTTGTATGATACTAGACAACTTGAGTGATTCTAAATCTATTTTCAAAAGTTTAGCATTGACTGAAATTATCCCTGCACTGGTCTTATATTTATTCACTTTATCCTACTTATTATCGCATTTTTTTTGTAGAAAAAAAAAGCACTCGTAGAGGTGGAATTATCGTTAAGGCATTGCCCTTGGGTTTTGTTTACAAAGTTTGTAAACAAACTCATATTAAAAGGGCGAAAGCGGTCACGCCAATAAATTAAATAATAGTTTATTTCCACAAATAAAATGAGTAAATACTAGTTGCGTACTAGTTTTTTTTTGTCTTAATACACAATATAAAAAAAAC